CCAATGTTTAAATGATTTAATTTAATTTAGTTAATGAAACAGCTGGTCAGTACAATGAACTGGTGTTTGTTTATTTACTCGAATATGATGTATGTTTTGCTTTATGTAGAAACTACATGTGAAGAGGCTTGACTAAAATGGAAGACAATGGTAAAACATGTCATTCATGAAGCATCAATATGAAGCAATAATTGATGCTATTACTACACAAAGGTATGTTGTCATATTCTTAGGGATCTATTAACATCAAAAGTAGGGGTTTGAAAGTAAGTAGGTTTACGCTTTTTAAATCAGTTTAGTTTTCAAACTAAAGCATAGAGTTGCTGTATTTTAAAACACACATCAGCACCACTTTAATAGCTCTCTAGGTCACATTTTCTTTCCGTTGCAAAGCACGGGTATAGCAGCTTGTATACAGTTAATTTATCGCTTAATGACAACAAACTATTCTCTATGGAGAGCTACCAGATGGATGAAACCAAGATGCATAGGATGAAACGTCCAAATTTCCCGAAATCGCCTATCTTTAAGTCCGATGGAATATGAACAAGAAACTACGAGTACTTTGGAAAATCTAAAGCGCTTGCGGAGAATTTTTTTAGGCCTAAGTGTTTGCTACCAATCCAAACCAAAATAATAACCACGATAAAACTCTAGAGTTCGTTGTGGCTCACGAAATAAGATAGTACCTCAATTAAACCTTTTAACCTCAGGAGTTTCTAAACTTATAAAGAAATATGACGTGTTGAAAGCTCCCGTATACGACTTAATCACAGGAAAATTACAGAAAGAGCTTCCTAGAAAGACATTTATACACCTGAATACATAATTTGTTGAAGTTTAAAAAAGCTAATATTCTGTTTAGTCCAGTCAATGAATGATCCAAAAGTAGGTGTAGAGTGCGTGAGCAGGTAACTAAGCGATTCCTTCAGAAACTTGTTCAGGGGGCTTAGGGTGTTAACATACCAAAATTCCTGACTCCTAGGTGGTGAGCCAGGGGGTGGAGGGGGGGAAAAGGGGGGGGAAAAGGTACGCATTTTGGGTTTTTTGATTATATCTCGAAAACTATCAACTTTTTGTATACTATAGTAAATTATAAAATTGAAGAAGATTAAATTTTATACAAAAAAAGTATATAATGTGTTTATTTTGGTTCAAACAGATTACGAGTTATAACTTATTTAATTGATATCTTATTAAAATACTCCTTCCATAAGAAATACATGTAAATTAGTATGCGAAATGGGGCGAATCCTATCCGCCCAAAGGAAATATAACTGATATTCTGGAAATCTTGACCAAATTTCCAGTAACTTGACACTTAAATCATGAAATTTTGTCAAAAATAAGAAGCAAGAATGAGCGTTTAAAAATGGGATGATTTAAGGTTTTTTTTATATTTCCAATAAAAAAACACCAAAACTCGACATTTTGTTACCTCGCCCTCGCCTTAATTTTGGATCAATTTTAATGATTAAAGTGTCAAATTACTGGAAATTTTGTCAAGATTTCCAGAATATCATTTATATTTCCTTAGGGCGGATAGGATTCGCCCCATTTCGCATACTAATTTACATGTATTTCTTATGGAAGGAGTATTTTAATAAGATATCAATTAAATAAGTTATAACTCGTAATCTGTTGAACCAAAATAAACACATTATATACTTTTCTTGTAGAAAATTTAATCTTCTTTAATTTTATAATTTACTATAGTATACAAAAAGTTGATAGTTTTCGAGATATAATCAAAAAACCCAAAATGCGTACCTTGCTCCCCCCTTTTTCCCCCCTCCACCCACTGGCTCACCACCTAGGAGTCAGGACTTTTGGTATGTTAACACCCTAAGCCCCCTGAACAAGTTTCTGAAGGAATCGCTTAGTTACCTGCTCACGCACTCTACACCTCATTCCTTGACTGGACTAGTTGTGGATTATTTATTATGAGTGGAAATTTTGAAGAAGATCGATGTAATAAGATCTGTTTATTTTAAATTAAATAATCAGTAGTTTGGACATTTAAAGAATAAAATTAAAAATATCCAAATTTTAAATCTTTAAGAAGAAAGACGAAGGTATATCAAGTACGTAAACTTTTTTTTAGAAAACTACTAATAAATTCTTCCTATGTAAAATTTAATTGAATAAATATATTATTATGTAGAAAATCATATGTCAACAGGCTATTGCGAAACCAAACTTGGGTTTACTAATTAATAATTTAAAATTTAATGTCTAAATTATTTTTTCTGTTAAAAATTACATTTTTTCTGCAACTTAACACGATTGATTTACATGACAAGATAAATTGTACCATCATTCAGTAAATAAAGTGGCATACAAATGGAATTGAATGTTGAAAATTAGTTATGAATTAAAAAAAACAATGCAACAGTTATGTACCAATGAGTTTGAAAAACGTAATACCATAATTTAATTTTAATTGTGTAAATATCCATGTACTCTTTTTGTATGTCAACCTGTGTTAAAAACATTTCTGAACGAAATCAACTGAGTTAACTTTGTTATTCCAGTGGCTTAGATTCGGTAAAGTCTGAGGTTATCTGTTTTCTACAGATCGAGAAAGGTTTAATCAAAGTGATGAGAGCCCTAAAGAGACTCTTATCGGATCAAAGGTCTAAAGGTTCGTGTGAGATTCTTTTTCTCTATTGACACAATTAATCACGGTGGCTTTCTAACTGAATTGCAGGCATCGAGACTTAATAATATGGCCAAATGTATTATTGCAACCACATTAAGTTCCTAGACCTTTTGCCAACTTCAGTTAACTAAATGTAAAATCTTGAATTTGAAATTTAACATCTTATTTTATCCTAATGTAATAAAATGTAAATAATCTTTACTGATGAATTTTTAACTGATGAAAATTGCTTTAGATTACTAAACATTTTAAAATAAATGTGGACACCTATTTAAATTTTAAGTACAAAGTTAGACAAACTAATTTACATTTGTAATCAGTTTTAAGGGAGGATCATTTTAAAATAAATATACTTAAAAACGAAACAATTGTAAATTCAGTAAGCGTGTAAACTGTCTGTATTTTCAAATCTCACACATTTAAAAAGTATAACTAAATATTTCTCTTATTTAAGTATGTCGATTTAGAAATATTTGAATATTAAACATTTTTTATTTTATTTCAAAATGGGTTAAAATTTGAATAACTAATTCTTGATGATGGCTAAAAACACCGAAAATATTATTTACTTGGGTAGAAGCTCGTGTAGCAGAGGTTAGAAACAAATAATAGTATATAATATAAGCTCGTGTAAGGTTTTTGATTAGCCTCTGTTTGGTAAAAGTTACGCTTATCATGGTTAGTATATTCTAAAATAAAAACTGAAAAATGTTAGGGCAAGTTTGTACGATGATTTATTATTAATGTTTACGTCTGAGTTCAAGTGTACCCCTCGTTATCTAATTAGGACAACTGTAGGAGTCAAAATATCTGTGGATGCTCACTGACATTTCTGAGTTTGAGGTTAAACCACAGTCATCTCTGAGTCTTTCTAATTACAAATGGTTAGGACCTTTAAACATAGAGGTTTAAGTTGGTATATGTTCGGTACAAAATTAATTCAAACATCGCAAACGCCAATGTGTTTGTAGTTAGTGTTAGCAATTGTGTTTTATTTTGACCCACTTCGAAAAAAAAACAATAAGCAAGTAAAGGATGTTTTTTCCACGCAATTTAAATTATAAGTACTAAGAGACTCTGTTTAGGGAAAAGTAAGCTCATACGTTGGTATCCACGTGTTCTTTACTTTATTGCCGATCAGTTGATGCATGGTTTTCTACAAGGCTTAGTCTTATTGAGAATAAATTGTGAATAAGACTAATTATGGTGTTTTCGCCGGATTACCTATTGTGTTTTGTAGATTATTGCATTTAATATTAATTTATTTTGGAATAGTTTTTCAAGGGTATAGTCCAAAGATAAAATAAATTAACTATTTATTGTAACTTGTAAAAGTTTAAGGAAACCAAAGCTGTAGAAAACAAAAAACAAATTCATACAACGCATACTCTTTGCGAAAATACCATGTTGAGACTTATTCAAAATTAATACCCTGTAATACTAAACCTGTAGGAAACAATGCAACAATGCATATCACCTGATTGGCTATGAGGTAAAAGAGTCAGGGCTACCATCTTATGTGTCTTTAGGTACTTGTAATTTGGGTTGTCTGAAAAAGTCGTTAGTTTCTTAAACGATACTATTAAAGTTATTGCATCTTAAGTGTCTCGATTTATTTTACCTGAAGCGAATTATTAAATACATACGCTACTCCATTTCATATCTTACTCTGTATGATACTCCGTTGTCTTCAATAGATCACGCGTTTTGGCGCTCTTTTCATCATTAGATTTGTAAAAAAAAAACTTACTTCATCATGCATTTGATGGTCGTGTCATTGAAATTATTTACGACAGCAAATCCAAAATTTTATTATTTTATTCGTTGAGCAGCATGCTAATACTATTGTACCGGAACACATTTTGGAATATGAAACATAATTTATTTAATAGTTTCGATTCAAGCAATATATCCGTCGCAAGAAAATCTGTAATATATTGGTTTTGAGTGGTTTAAAATATGCATAAGATATAAAAAAATATTTTGGTAATTAAAAGATTTTTAATGTGTTTCCCTCTTTATGAATCCCAGCTTATTCGAAACGGGTTTTAATTAGCCACCACATTTTTGAGCTTAATTTTCGTTTTGAATTCCATTTAAATACAATTTGTTTAACAATGTTGTTATTCTCTACAGACACAACAATATAGGCCTACATTAGTCATTGGTCTTCCTGCATTAAACGGGTCCAGCTACTTACATATTCCTCAGTCGCTATCCTAGGTTTCACGGTCCCAAGTTGTCAAGGATAACGCCGTGTAACTGGTTCCTTACGTGGAACGAGCAGGAAAGGAAACGTGCTACTCAGTAGATCCTTTGTCGTTCGGGCTAGCAAGTCCCGAAATGTTGAAGGTGTTTTTGTTAGTTTTGTGTGTGTATGGAGGTTTTTGCGAGGATTACGATACTACGGAGTCCGAAATCACTACGGATGAGACAACTGTTTCGACCAGCAGTCTTCCTCCGGTTCGGTCAGGTATCCTGAAGATACCCAAGAGTGCTAGATATCTAGGGACTCCGCCCCGTCGGCCTAGGGCTCGCTGGGTGTCAGATGTCCTGCATGATGGTCTTAGGGGATTCGCTCCTACAGGGTCTTCCGAATGTGATAGACACAGCCGACTTTACCAGGAGAATTTGAGGAATTTGACGTTATGGGCGGTTCAGAGTAAGTCAGATCTTTACTATTTGCAAAAGAAAAAAAATACGCAGTATATTTATTACTTCTGAGCAAATCTAGATAGAATTTTACGCTAAATATAAGTGAAGTTAAAAATTAATAAACAAAAAATAAGTAAAAATATGACAAGTGTTCCAATTATATTAAGAGAATCTTATAGCAGGGTCACTAGTCAAACAAAAAAAAATCCACTTATTTGATCTATTTTAATTTACAAAACATGTATGCCCTATGTTAAAACAATGGTTAAACTAAAGCTAAATAAGAAACTAAGGTGGAGGGTTGGACGGATGGTTAGGAGACAGGTTCCGCCGTACAGAGTATAGGGACTAAAATTTGGTTTTGCCGCAACACAATCAATTTGTGAATCACTTCAAAGAAGGTAGTGCATAGGATTTTGAAACAAGTTTTTTGGTTCTTGATATGTAAGTTTGTAAACAAAATTAGAAAAGTACCAAACTTTCTAACTTAAGTCTCTATGCCATGATCTGTAATGTATAAATTTACTATGACATAACTTCTTTAATGCTTTTTTGGGTGCATATGGAATTTTACAATAAGTCGTGTGAATATATTATTGCAGACATTACGGGCTACTTACTTTATGTTTCGCTCTAATTTTTCAAGTATATCTTTCCTCTAGCATGAAATAAATTTGGTATGGAGATATGGCTTCTTTAACGCGCACTTCCAACTTAATTATAGCTTTTCCTTGCCCTGAGAGAGCAGCAAGGAGGGCTTGTGTGCGAATAAACTCACCAATCTTCAGCACCTCACCTGGAATCAATTCATCACCACCTCACTTACTGATAAGTAATATTTTGGAAAGAAGGGTTTAAGGCACACAGGTTTTGCACAGAGTAGTAAGGTACAGAGGAAACATCCAATGGTACACTTAATTGGTGTCTAGCACTTAAGTGTTGGCATCTAGGGCAGAGTCCGACACCGGCCCACTTGCCCTCATGTATTCGGACGCATTTAAATGTTGTGCAAAATATCTTGTTGAATATTTATAAATGTAGTTTTTATTTATAACACCCAATTTAGTAAATTAATTATAATAAATTCTTATCACTCTCCCATGAAACGCACCGACGGCCTTTGATTGTTAGGGGGGAACAAACAGTGAGCTCCTATCCACACTGAAAAATGATTGCTGATTAATATAATAAATTTCCATAAAAGGGATTTAATATTGTTATAAATTTAACATTAAACTCGCGACAGATAATGATTAAGAACATAAAAAATATTACTTAAGCTACAATAAGTTAGTTGTGCTTAAGGATAAAAGTATATAAAAAAATGAAACAGATGATCGATCGGTTTACCATATTCACATTCCCATAAAAAATAGCACATGGTGTTAACATTGGTAAGAAAAATATTTTACAAGAAGTCAATTTAATTCTTCACTTTGGTTTATTCAGTAACAATTTTAAGGAACTTTTTCGCTTGAAACAACTGTTGATCGTCCAGGAACGAAGCTTAGTCTTCCACTATTCAAAATAATCGGGTTTTCTGTCCTCTTTTGTTTACTCCTCTCTGTGTATTTTCAAATTGGATTTAACGTCATCCAGTGTTGTTTTTGACCTCTGGCTTTGTTTTATAAAGCAATTTAACTTCTTTATTGTTTGGATAAACTCACAAAGGGATTTTACCATCAGTGACTCATGAAAACTAATGAGTAGTAACAAATATTTCTTAATTACATATTTATACGTGGTTTTTAATATAATCTTAATATACAATATATTACATAGCATTATTACAAATATGAAATTACCTAAATGTCAATAAATAATTCTAATTAATGTCATTAGCTTTTAAAAGCCTATAAAATACTTTTAGTTTGTTAACACGTTTTTACATTATTAGAGTACAATATCCTTAGGAAGGCTGTGTAAAAAGTTTAAATTTATTGTTTTACCTGATTTAGGTTAGGTATCAGTAAAGTTAAGAAAGTTCAATAAATTAGAAAAGATAATTATTAATTATCTTTCTCTTCAAATTTACAATGATTGTAATTACCTATTTAATTCTTAACAAAATGCAAATCACAGCTGTCGCTACAGATATTGCAGTAGCAACAACATTTTTTGTACTATTTTATACTAATAGATTTTATATAATAGACGTCGAGTGTAGTATACTTAATGCCATTTTGTAATCTTAACACTTCGGTATTGGATGCCATGACAAAGTCTTCCAAGAAACTTAAGGCCAGACTCTTCAAAAGTGACTCGCTGACTCTTTTCTCTAAGTCCGTAGTCAGTTTATATTGCACTAAGTTAGATTATCATTGAAGTGTATGATGTAACTACTAGATCATCTAAAGGACTTGTACCGAACACTTCGACCCTTACCCTCTCACCCACTCCTTAACCGTGCTCTTCCTGAATCTAGTTATTTTTTATTGTTCTAAGTCCACTGCATTTAATTTCAGTGTATGATTTAATTACTCAGGTACTTAACACATACCAATGACCGGAAACTTCGACCAGTGCCCCCTGACTTTCTTTCCCTTAAATCTTGGCAATTCACTTAGTCACCAAGTAACATTAAAGATTCAGTGTATAACCACACTACTTAACCTTTTTCTTTTGGAAAAATCCTTCAATCAGTTTCCATTGGTAGCTGTACTCAACAGAATCTAGATAATTTATGTTAAATTAGATAATAATTTATCATAACTAAATTCGCTTATCATTTCAGTGTACGACGCAACGTCTCAATCTTCTCAGGGATTGTTGGCTGGCAACTCTTATCAGCTGGGCCACTTCGATCAGTGTATCTCCCTAAGTGTGCCTTCCCTGAAGTTGGCTGGACGCTACTGTCTGGTTGACATTAGGTTTGCCCCTGATTATGCTAACTTCAGAACTCCTCATCCGGAATCCAAGTTCTACCAACCATACAATCGACTTTCCATATGGGAAAGAATAAAGGTAAATTGTTCGTTGTTATACGATTAAAACCCACTAGTTATCACATGTTTCTCTTAATTTATATCCAATTATAATCCAAATCCCATTTGTTAAGGAAAACTAAAAACTGTTACACGTTACAAATTTATGAATTATAGAGGATTTTTAGAATGTTAAGCATGTTTTCATCAGATTCGATCATCCATATTTGAGCATTATACATATCTCGTGATGTTATCCGCATAACCTTTATCACAGATCAAATTATCATCATTAACACTGGTTATTCGTTAACATATAAAAAATCATATTTTAACGTTATTGATTTTTTATCTTTGACAATTAATACAATGTGACAATCAATACAATACAATCAATGGTTTTATTGACTAGTATTTTACATGAACATAATTTTACTTTCAATAGGGTTGCTTTAATTTACTGATGAATTAATGTATCGTTATACATTAATACAAGATATACCGTTCTTGTTACTCCATTATTATCTGTGCATCATAATCAAAGGTGTGCATAATATCTCAGCATCAGGTGTCTTAACTACTCGTAACTATAACTATCTTGACTAGGTCAGGGGTCAGGTTTCGCATTAATGAATTTCTAACAGGCACCAACTATAACAGGCCCAAACTATTAATAGCTTAAGAACGTGTAGCGATTTTCATTCAACGGAAAAGCATATACACAATACTGTATGGATTTCTTGTTTTTTTTCAGTAAATCTAAGATTCTTTTAAGTTTAATATTTTATAATTTGTGAAATTAAATCATTAAACCACTATTTCTTAAAAGTATTACAGTTTCTTTCCAAAAAAATACCATTGGTGTATGTAATTAAAAACTATTATAACATATATGACACCTTTGACCATATTATTAAATAAATATAAGAAAACTATAGTGTTTTTATTTGTTGTTAATTTGTTTTAATTGTTAATTTTTTCCGACATGTTTACTTGTTCCCCTTGTTTTTTCCCACCTTTCTTATTTTTTTTTTATTATTGTCTTTCTTGTCATCTTTTTCTTTCACATATTCCTCTATAATTCTTCCTATACTGGCACCGACTATGGCACCTATCACAGTGCAAGCACAGTGTGTAAGCGGCAGTCGTCTTCTCGCAGCCACGGATCCAAGTAAACCTCCCACAAGACAACATCGCTGGGTTAGGCCTACATTCAGCGTTATTGACAATGGGCTATGCTTGCAGTCGTCCTGATTTACTACTTCTGAAGATGTTTCTTTTTCGTCCTCTTTATTTTGTCCCTTTTCATGTGGTTTCTTACTACCTGGCTTCTCTGCCATACTCAAATAATTTTATATGATTCTGGAACAGAATTGAAAAGTGTAATTTAAAATTCCATGTTATTGTTATGAAGAAAATGAAATATGTTGTAGTTTACTTGTTTATATGTTGATAAAATTTGGAAAATTTATTTATTTTATCCTATACTATTGACCTATGGTCAAAAACACGTTTTACCTTCCTCGTAGCAGCAAACCTAAGCACTCGTTAAATCTAATGTTATATGTTTTATTCAGTGTAAGACAGAAAATAGAGAAGAGGAAAGCAGTAAATCAGGCAATAATCACAAGAAGCTGTAAATTGTATTGACTTTGAGCAAGATTACTGGACAGTATATCACACACGAGAGGGTTAAAAAATAAATGTAATAACTGTAATACGATATGAGTGTTATAAATGCGAATTTAACACCTGTAAATTCGATTCACAGTTGTTTATTATTAACGAAAGTGTTTATGATAAAAAGAGTAACGCGATATTAAAAATCAATTATTTCCTTAGCCTAGTGATAATTGTGAAGATATTTCACATACTATATTTGGAGGGTAAAATATTGGCATTTTAATGTTTTTAAATTATGTTATTCATTGTGACTCTTGGTTAGAATATATTATTGATAAAATAAAAGGATTACCTTATCCAACCACGGTTGCTGGTATGACAACTAGTTTCGTTCCTTAGAACTTCGTCAGGTCATTGTATGCAACCACATCTTTAATGTATTAATACATTGATTATGTGGAATATATTAATGATGTGGTTTCATACAATGACCTGACGAAGTTCTAAGGAAAGAAACTAGTTGGCATACCAGCAACCGTGGTTGGAAAAGGTAATCCTTTTATTTTATCGAGTTTATAAATTGTGTACGAGATTCAAACAAATGTATTTGATTAACAAATTTTGAATTCAGAACCGATTTCGAAAAGTCAATGTTTTACTTAGGAACATATATTTGATCTTTTTATTATTTATAAAATAACCAACCGATTAACGTGATAAGATTATGGGCATTTTGTCATATTTATTCTTATTGTAAAAAAAAAACTGTTGTTACATTCAATATATTTTTGATTATAAAGTATTCATTTAAAATGTTTGCACGGTATCCTTGAAAACAATATGGTAAATGCACACCGTGCTTATAATGACGGAAATACTCAGAAAGCATTAAGCCAAAATGTTTATAAACTGTTTAAACCCTTTTGTAATGTTAAAATTACTCCGGAATATTTTTTGTTCTATGATCACAAAAAAGAAGCTTGCACCATACGAAAAAATAATGTGATACTTTTTTGTAAACAATGGTTATCTTCTCTTCATGTGAGCAAAGTAGCACTTTTTGAACGAAAATCGTTTACTGTTTTTTGTATTAAAGTAATACATTTGGTGTTAACAATTACTTGTTCTTGTTTCACTCGTACTAAAATGTAATGAACATGAACGTAAAATTACGTCCATCAATCGAAAAGCTTTTAGTGAATATTAGGCCTATCAGATTAAAAAAGAACATTTTTGGAATGTAGCATTTGTATAGTCATAATCAAATGTTTGTTAACTGGCAAGCGATTTATTTTGTTTGGTTGTTATTTGGAATGATCGAGTAGCGTACAAGTAAAATTTAGCAAATTTAATTGTACAAAATGCCACTTTGTGTGAAAACTTTAGTAGACCAAATCAGTTTTTCACTTTCCCGTTTTGTTGTTTTTTTCCATACAGTCAGAGAATTTCAGTATCACGTTTAAATGACACATTTAACTCCTCAAAATGAACTCATGTTATAATTTCCTTTCTTTTCCCCTAAGTTATTTAATGTCGTCCTTTTTCCATCCAGAATGTTCACTTGACTTTCTCGTTCAGGTGGCACATTACCCTCTTGTAAATACCTCTGTTGTTATTGTCTGCCCTTTGCTCACTAGACAAAGGGAACAACAGGATTATTTACAGAATCCTGTTGCTTAATCCTGGAACACCTTATACCTTCTCCAGAAGTGTGTTCCTGCCAACACCATCTATTCTTCACGCTGTCTTTTGTCCCCAGAACTCTTCAGATCTCTCGCACCGCCCCAGGGACGTTGTCCAGTGGTCGCTGTGTGTTCCTGCCTCCTGCACTGTCGCCGAGGTGAGGTCCTCTCTGGTCTCCGCCCTCCGTGGTCTGGATCTGTCCCTTGACGTGTCCCTTGGTGAACATGGCTGTTATGCGACAACAGATGAGGAACCTCCGTCACTAGGCTTCTATGTTGTCTGGTACGTTGAAGTATTTTGATACTGTTTCTGTAAGTTTGAATTTGGATATGTAATTACATGACGTAGTATAAAAGGCCTAAACATTTTTGGACATCGAGATTGAATTTTACTATTGGTTCAAACACCAGGATGTGTATTGTAAGACGAAGATTATTGAAGTAGATTTTGTACATAATTGTATTCTTTTGTATTTCTGTTTTTTACGGTTATTAAAAAAAAAAAGACTATGATGACATAAGTTTGCCTCAATAAACAATGATTTTCATTTCGTTATTCTTTCATTCATTCTGCGCAGCTCAAATATTGATACATTGCATTTGAAATTGAAATAAATAATATTTTAGGAGTTGAACTTTACAAGTTAAATATTTTCTTTATTATTAGTTTTTGAATGCATGTATTAAACATATGTTATATTGTTGTATGAATGTACAGGGTGACAAAAAAGTCTGGAAAAGGCTAAATATCTTTTTAACTAAATCCGTTACATAATTCAAAACCTTCACAGCAACTTACATGTATGAAAACTACTTTTTCCAAGTATTATCATTTTTTTTTCTCTATCATGGGACGACCCATGAGGAGTAGGTACATAATCTTTAATGTAAGCATAAGTTGATATGCACATTTTTTTAAAGGTCTAGAAGTGGAAAGTAAACTAGGTCATAGACTAATATTATTCAATCTTCAAAACAAATTTAACCGGGTTTTAGATTCCCGGCTAATGTTGACTATGAGTATTTATCAATACTAAGGCCTCTGCAGGTATATTCCGCAAGAACTTTGAACGGCCGCCATTTGTAACGGATGAACTTTTTTGGACGCGATTTCCGGCAGTGAACTCCACTTGACCAGACCTTTAAAATGATGTGTATATTAAGCTATGCTTACATTAAAGATTATGTACCTACTCCTCATGGGCCGTCCCAGATAAAGTTAAAAAAAATGGTAATGCTTGCAAAGAGTAGTTTTCTTACGTATAAGTTGATGTGAAAGGTTTGAATTTTCTAACGAATTTAGTTAAAAAGGTATCAAGCCGTTTCCAGACTTTTTGTCATCCTGTATTTTATTATAATTGCAACTCTTTGGAAATCGGTACAGTTGTTGTTACTTCATTTAGCTTACGTGTTTCATAAAATGAGTAGCAGCTAAATAACGTTTTAAATTGTTCTGCAAGGTTTGTCAATTAAATATTATTAAATTAGAAGTGCTAACTTTTTTTAATGCAACGCAATTTGAGTTGTTTAATATATAGAAATGCATTCCATCTCAATGTTTGTAGGCAAAACGCTTTTTGCTTGTTTACATTAATATCCAATAATAAACATCTGCAGATGTATTCTTTAAACTGTTACAATAATTCATTGCGTTCACTAGTTCACACACACTAAATTAATGTTAAAAGCAATGAACATAAAGAAATTGAAAATGGCATTGAATTGTTTAGGAAGATTCTGTTTAAATAGCTACTTGTATTCAATGTATGAACGCCCCAGTTCCTTCTCTTGTAAATCTACTTTGAAAGGTTGTATTCAAAGCTCGTGTAGTATCAGCTTTTATCCGCGTCACTTACATCGTTCTCCATTGTTGAGTTTGAATGACGTCTAAAGTTAAGACATTCATATCGTCATAATGAACCCACGTTTCCATTGAGTACGTCGCCGTAAAGGCACTTGACGAGAAGATGAAGCCTTGGACGAAGCACCTTTATATCGCCTTGAGCTGTGTTTCATTGAATATTGTTATGTTACTCGCATAAAGCTGATATTTTATCTATTCATGAAAGTTTGTTTTTTAATTTTACCTTTTTATTTCTAAATTTTCTAGATTTTCTTAGTATCTTGACAATGTTTAACACTGAAATTAGTTTTCTCCTACGTCGTAAAGAAACAAAAAAAAATCTGTTCTTTATTAGCTAGTAAATTGATTCTTTTTAAATAAATGTAAATAGACAAATAAAGTATTGATACTAGTATTTTATACTGTACTGTCAAAATTATGAATGAATTCACGTAGGTTTTCCCTCAATGTATAATAAAAAGTTTGAAATTTAAGTATATTTATACTGGAGTTTTTTAAACGAAAATAAACTATCTCGGAATAGCTTGATACATTTTTTTACAGCACCAGAAGGGATACAATTTTCAAGATGTGTAACCTTAATTTTGAATAACTGATATTTTTTGTATACAATTTAACACTGATCTATCATATCTGTGTAATAATATTGCCAGCTTTTTTACTCTCCATTCAAGGACCGCCTTTGTACTGTTCTAATGCTTTACAGTATTAAATAATAGTTTTACCCATGTAACCATGCATCGATCAAACTATTTGTAAGTTACTCCACATTTGGCACTCTGCATGGTGTAATACTGCCATAGTCCTTATAGACATATCTTGGAACATGACGGTTGGAAAGTTTAAATACTTCTTACCTTGTTTTTCTACGGATTCTACCTTGACATAGTTGCTCGACTCTGTTTGACCCTAACATTAGTTTGTTTCGAAATAAAAAATAAGGAAATAATAGTAACAATAATCTCCATGCTTTATTGAGATCAAGGAACTTAGATAAGATCCATGAGTGATTTGGTGGGATTTGTACCCGGTATCACAGGGACCGAAGTACCGCGCTCTAACCACTACACTAGCTTGCTCCTCCACAAATACTACCATTACACCTAACTAAATCTACAACAAAACAACTATCTCTCAAGGAATATTTATTTATGGAAATGTTTTTTTACTGTTATCTATAGTATTGGAAATTATTGGAGCATTCCTAAGTTGACTAAACTGTCCACAAATGTTTGGCTTTGGACGTTCCAACAACGTACATAAACATTGGTGAACACAACAGTTCTGGTAGCAGATGCGACGTTTGTGTAGGCCGGTTTTTCCGATGCGCATATTGAATAAGCAAGTTGTTTTTATTAATGGAATATTTCAAACAAACATGAATATATCCGATGTCATATGTCGCAAAATAATACCTTCATAACGTTTTTGAATTGCATAATTTGAGTTATTTTTCCTTGAAATAAAATTGAAGCATTTCCTTTACATGTTAAAGTTCTTATTAGATCAAACGTATTTCCCTCCAATTTTAATTAAGTTCCTTATGGATCGGTGAATACAATTCTATGGTTTCTGAAAATACATCAAAATATGCCTGATGGGACTTGAGACATACAGTGTATAAATTAAGTTTTGAAAAAAATCTGTATTTTTAAAACTGAATTAGATATAAATATTCTGTTTGTGGCGTTGATTGTTAACAAAGGTAATTTGTTATCAAAAATATTTTTTAACCCCCCTAACAGGGTAAGGGGTGACTTATTTTTTTTAAATAGCAACCCCTATTGAGTGACCCCTCAGTTTGTAGGATTTGTCAAAACAAACACAATAACGCAAACCTGAGGTGGATATCTTACCCCTAGCCTAAATGGCGGGTATTCCAAAATTAGATTTACTGTATATGTAAAAAAGCACCAATTTCACAAATATGGAAACAAATCTGTATTTTTCAAACCGAAATAGATAGCTATATTCTGTTTGTGGAATTGATTTTTAACATGGGTTTCGCAATTTTTTAAATCAACAATATTTTTTAACCCCTTTAACAGGGTAGGGTGTGGGGGTGACTTTTTTTACTAAAATTTTTAGTAAAAAAAGCAAACGGACAGGTTTGCTGCGGTGGGGTTATTTTTATATTTTCTTCGTACTCCTGTAAACAATCTCATATTTAATTCTGTGACAGGTTTAATTTAGCATTTGTGTTCTCTTTCATTAAATGATTACTAGACCTGGCCTATATAGATTAACTTTAGTTTCTAAAAGTTGATGATTGTCCATATTTACGTTTTTAAGGAATAATTTCACATGAGTTTTTTAGAGTTAAAATATTGTTGTAATTTGTTATATTTGATTATTTTCGACGATGTTTAAAATGTGAATATAGCTGTGCAGTGCATGTTGATTTCTTATAGGATAAGATTTAATTTTATTTATTTTACATTCTCGTAAACAATTAGTATTATTTTCGCTCAAAACCTAGTTTTTTTTTGTACAATATACTCACGTAAATATTCTGTGACATAACTAGGTGATATGTAAATATTTAATGTCAATGTTTATTCTTTTAAGGGCCCATCATTAACATCTTGTTTGACAAATCTCGTATTAAGCACAAAACTACACTGATATTCGGTTTTTTAAATTTTGGTAACATCTCCCACACAAATAGTATATAACTGTATGAATAACAATAATGAAAGTGTGTAACGTAGCGAAGTTGAAGAATTTAACAAACATAATATTTACTGAAAGTTGCGCCGTAGAGATGTATTTTCAATTACAAACTCAACTTTTCCTGCACCTTCAAACCGCTCGAAGCAAAATCAATGTTAGTGTGGAGTCTGTTATGCTCGGTTGAAAGAAGGCACCATTGTCGTCTCTCCGTTTATTCCATCTTTGACAAATATTTTTATTTAGCACAAACATTTACTTAAAAAAGTGAAGTTTACTATCCTACTGAAATAAATAAAGCTTGTTTTACGTGTGGTTTTTGTTAATGACGTAAGAATGTTTATTATTTATGACGATTAAATGTTTTCCCTTATGTTAGAATAGATTTTATGAACTTGTGGCTACATAGTTTTGCCATTAATTATGAATCTGCTATTTACTGTCTCAACTGTACTTTGAGTGTACAAATTATCATATGATCAGCTGGCTGTTTTGTAAATGTTATATTTCATTTATTATTGTAGTTCTTTCTTAATACAAAAGTGATTCATGATTTAATCTCTTCTTTTAATTACCTTATTTTGTGTTAGTATATTTATATAAGGCACAAGCCTTAAACTCTTTGGGTTTAATTCTAAAGGATAAACAATTGGTCACAACATATTAATAAGTTCAGCTAAAATATTTGTTCAAGTTGGTTAAATAACAAGAACCAAATTTTAAACAAATCATAACGTCTAGAACTAAGAGTTGGTATTGAATTGAATTATAGACAGACAAGAACAATCCATTTAATCTTGACAAGGGTGTATTTATAGATGGGTTTTTTTCACCTTTTACACATTTTGTGGAGAAAATATTACTTTCGTTAACACTTTTAGTCTGTGTTTTGGGTCCCAATGAACCGCAAAAAAGTGCATTTCTAAGTGACGAATGTGTATTTGCACATAGCTACAGTTTATACCTCTGGTCCGATTTGGATTACATTTTTTATGTGGGTTCTAAACTATTATCCACAGTATCTCCAGGCATTTTTTTATTTTTTGGAATTGTAAAATTTTCTATAATAACCTGTGGAATAACGGAAAGATCAGATTTAAAAAGTCTCAATCGATATTGAAGTTGCGAACCCACACTTCAAATAAAATGGTACAACCTCAAATGCAGTCAAAATGATTGGTGTAAAATTTATTCCAATTATTGTGATTTTATCAATCAAATATCACGATCACTCTCACTCCTTACCCATTGAAAGATTTTTGACGAGCTACTGGTAGAAATTTATTGTCAGTTAGCTATTATTACCGTTAATTATTGTTTATTTCTTTAGGAATACTCTGCATTATAAATTAATAACTTTACAAGTATTGAAAAATGTAACAACATTTTTCTTTAAACAAAAGTATTTATTATTTTACAGAGTACATTTGCCTCATGAACGAAACCTGAGTACTTGTTTTGAATAAAAATAAACATCTTCTAACCTTCTGTATTTTTTCAGGTTAGTCATTCTGCTGGCTGTGGTGATATCATTTACAGCAACTGGGATGGATTTCTTTGTTTATCAAGCGGGAAGACCTCACAGTTTAGGAATCAGTAAGTGTATTATGGTCAAAATAACAAAACCTTGAAGGTCCATAGAGCTACCTTATATCCTTGGCAGAGATCAGAGTTAACTCCCCTCTCCTATGTTGAAAGATATGTCTAACTTTAAAATAAAATAAAATGACTTGAATTGGACCCTACGAATAAATGTCCTGGTGTTATTCATCTCTGTCGAATATGCCATCATTTTAACCAATCCATGTTGAAAGGATAATGTGTAGTATAATATGCCATCTTTACAATATTTTTGTGTAGCCTGATTGTGACAAGCAGGCTTTGCAGGAAATCAGGTAGTTCTTAAGTATTGTAAACAAAATTTGTTGCCATAAACAAACTGAAATTTGTAAACATACTGGTGACAATGGTGATACCATGCAGGCAGGGTACATTATCAATGACGAAGATAACTATGGTCAACGTTATATGCGGTTATGAGTGAAAAGTCGAAAACACTAAAATACTAAAACAGCTTTTGTAAAATGATCAAATATTTACTCTAATTGGTGTAGACATCGTGAGTATATCCATTAGTTACATTGTTGACTCTTTTAGAATCATCGGAAATTATTACCGTTAATCGTTTTTCTTAAACTTATGTAAAACATACCAATTAATTGCAGGAATTTTAGCAACATGTACACTAGTATTGATTTAATTCCACCTTTTACAGATCAATTGTTATTCCTTCACAATGATTCTTAAGCTTTTGTAGTGATAAAGAACTTTTGAAAATATTATCCCACATAAAGACAAAACTTATACAAATACATCAATTTTTAAAACCAGATTTAGATTCATAAATGGAAACCAACGTTAAATTGTTCTCTAATTTTATTGTCACTTAACAACACTAATGTTTTTGGCTTAAAAGATATATTTTCACTGTAATTTCTCATAACCGTAGCTCTTTGTAAGGCGAATGTGTGCAAATGAAACTTGGTTATAAACGGGTAAAGGGCGAAACAGGACAAAGATTTAGAACTCATTTTAACTTTTCCACAAGCCACATTAAACGGGTAAATGAAATATTCAATGTGCAACTATATTGTCGAGAGCTTGTCGTGAATGACATTTCGACGATGTAATATTTCGTTTTATGGTTTTGTTTAACCTGGCGTCGTTTTTATTCACCCAAGCAACATTTTTTTAATTCATTACAAAACATTCTTACATTATAGTAGTTAAAATCAAAAGTTCTAAAGATCAGAAATACGAATTAGTGAACAATTTTGTTTCAGTCGTAATAAAAAATAAAAAATAAAATTTTTCTATAAATATTTAAAATAAAAATCTATAAATATGATTTTTGTTGGTTGCAGTATCTATTGTTAACTGTTGTAATCAGAACATTACTAAGCATAAATTACTTAAAGGAATAACAAGAAAATTCGCCAAGAAAGTATTTTTAAACTTATTAGTCCGAATTGATGAATATAAGTTGCAGTTTTGCTATATATAAAATACTTTTACAACTCGTGTTTTCTGTAATAATTGGAAATTAAAATTCAATACAATGTAAATATTTAATATAATAAACTATTTGTCGAAAAAGGAAATATCCAATTCAGAATTGTTATTTACGCATATTTTCCATTTATGTGATCATAAAAGATACAGACAATGCCCTTTAGTTTCCCAGTCATGTATTTGACAAACAAAAAGGGGTTTCAACATACACCCTTGAGGGACACCATAATTTACAGTTTTTTTCTTAAACCCTGACTAACCCCAAAATATTTAACATCGCAACAACAAACGCACATATAAACAATACACTGAGGAAAACTCAACCCTGTATATTTTGACAATAGGGTATAAAGTTATTTATCAAACAAGAGTTGGTAAAGTTAGTCTTTTGATCAGCTCAGAACCGCAACGTCACAAAAGTTGCCTCAACCACACAGTCTTTGTGTTGCACGACATACGGCTTGACTTAGGTGACTTTACAACTGCAACCAACAAACTTGCCAACTCGGTTGATTGATTTCTGTAGTTTGTTAAGAAACTTTTCACAACTGAGTTTTTAAATGTTCCCTTTGAATTGACTTAAATCAAGATCCCACCAAATATCCTTGACTTTTGATGTGTCTCTGTTTTTATTGTCGATAAAAATTTGTCTTCCACCATGGCTTCCACATTTAATTATGAGCCCTGTAACCAGGATGTCCCCATTCCACCTGTGTCTGTATGCTATTCTATGGTACAAGTAAATTTTTCAATACTTTACCAATTTTGTTTTAACTGATAACAATAAGGATTAATTATTGAGACTATTGGTTCAATTAAAAAACTAAACTTTATTTACCAAATTATTGATAACAAATTAAAGTATATCATTCTCTACAATTCAAGTTAACAAAATTATAAGAAAACGCTTACTTTGATGTGGCTATGAAATCATTGCTTTCCTAGCTTTCTTTTCACTAAAACAATTTATGACTTCAAAAGTCAACAGTTTTGGTTAATTCGTTCTCAATCAGATGGTTCAGACGTGTATGGCCAGTTGTGGTTCTTTGCCAAGTTTTTAGTAGATTCAATAATCTACTAAAAGATCTCAGCCGTTGAAACGGTCAGTGGGATTGTACAGAAAAGCCATATAGCTGTGCATATGTTCGAGAAAATGGACTGGAGGTTTTCCTCATATATTGAGTTTAGAAGCGTCAACGGGTCCTTTTCGGAGTGGATCACAGTTTTATTTACGTTCTTCATATAAAGAGTTTCTTCAGATAGAGCTTCTGGATCAGCTAAGTCTGAAGGGTATGCAACGAGATTAACAGTTTTATGTTTCAGTACCTCGTTGTCTAGATCAATGAACACTAAAACTGGAGCAAAAAAGGTACACATTTCTTCAGAGCTTGCAAATTTGGTTTTCATATCAGCCATGAGGAAATCCAAAACAGTAAAGATTATACGGTAGTACAGAAAGACTTGAATTCCTGTGAAGCTTGTTGCTGAAGTTGCTCGGGTGTATTTTCAATTTTCTTTTGAGAGGGAATTCTGGTTTAGTGCCAGCTGCATCGGTAACGTGTTTTGCTTCGTTATGGATTGTTTCCTATGAATCTCTTAGTGTCTGCAATTAAGTCAACAAATCTCTAATAAGTTGCGTTTCTGTCTTTCTTCCAATGGATTTCTTTGACCAATGGAGGTCAAATCTTGTGCCAAAACTATGATGCCAAGAGGCCTTTAAAAGATTCAAAGTACCTGTTTCTGGCTGCTGGAGTCAATGTAGGCAAATTACTTGCTTCAAGGAGCAGGCCCAAAACCTTGAGGATTGAAGGAAAATTTTTGACAATCGGTCTTGAATAGTTTCACTCCAACGAGTCTCGGAAAGGTTTTGTAGAGACAGAGGGCTTAACATTAACAATAATCTCCAACGGCTTGGGCTGCTCAAGAACAAAATAATATAAAATATCAATGTTTCCAAAAAATGTCACTACGTCGTTCCTTCGTCTGATGGAAGGAAGAGGTAGAGGGAGTTTGTGGGACGCTAGCTGGCTTTACGGTTGTTGTATAGTACATACGCACTATTAACTAGCCTAGAATCTAGAAGGAATATATTTTAATTGATTTAACTTTGTTTTTTGTAAAATATATATATATTTTAATTTATGATCTGCTATAAAGTGATCTTCAGTGATTAAAATAGAAACAGGGGTAGGTCCGGGCCCCCCGAGAGCCCCTGTGACCACAGTTTCCCCAGCCCCACCCTTGTGGGGCCCATGTCTTCCACGCTTCTTAGTATGCACACTGAACGACAAATGTACAAGTACGATTAACGTGAGTAAAGCTTGTAGATCTTTGGGAAAGAATTTGTATTCCCAACAGACCAGTTTTGTAACTGTTCGTTTCTCATCACATTTTATGAGTTAGTAAAATTTTAAACCTCTAAGGATGTGATATCGATGTATATTGATCCTTTAATGAGATTCCTATCCACATAATTTATTTTCGTTTGTATTTAGTTAATTTTCTATAGCCTATAGTATTGCAGCAGTGTGTGATATTCATATACCAATGCGCGTCAGATTCATTTCAATAGCAATAATTTGTGTTGTGTTATATGATTGTATTTGCGTTTGTAAAAATATGTGAAAAAAATAATTATTAAATTTTAAACATCGACATTTTTAATTTAAAAGAATGTTCTGTATTGACCACTTATGAACCCTTCCACTTTCATTTGTCAAAGATCCTAAAAAAAATATGGTACGATATGTTATAGGACGATGGCTGAGGACCTTCTCTATGTACAAGAACATGGGCAAGTTGGTGACTCCCAACTCAAACTCAGAGTTTGCCGAGTTCCACGTATACAAGTTAATCGCCATCATGTTTGTGATAGCTGGCCACAGACAGATGTACAACATAGGACAGACCCCACTATACAATGTAGATTGGGTTGAGCGGGTAAGTTTTAGCTTTTAACAACTTATTTATTCATTAATGGTTACACCATTTACAAAATAATATGAATAGATCTATATAGCATTATGTAGCTCGTACATGACAGAACGGATTTTTTTTAGATTCGCAAATTTAAACGATAATACTAATGTAAAGAAGTTTATCATGATAGTAACGATAATTAGAACTAAGCAAATAATAAAGGACTGGGAAAATCAAGGTTTAATGACCTGATTGGCTGTAAAGCTATTACCATATTGACAAAGAAATCCACAATACAACACACATCTTTTAGTAAAATACCCCCCCCCCCCGCCACAGCAAACCTGCGGACTGAGTGAATTTCCATTTACCTGGGTGGATTTCTACTAAAATATTCCCGGAAAATTGTCAGATGTATTTCCTGTTTAAATAACATTAATTTTATTGAGTACCTAGGTTCGCTGCTACGGGGATGGTATTGAGGTGTGTTTGTTATTGAAATGTTGATATGAAATAAACAAAATTGCCAAATTTGATTAAAATTTATTAATAAACAATCAAACTACAAGAGTTTATTTATTCACCAAAAATTATTTTCTTGATTTTAAGACTGTTCTGTAAGTTTTCCATCCAGAAAATTATTTTCCTGGCATCTCGTTTTGTTACCATAAACTTATGAATTGCACTGTATATGTCTTCTTCTTTTCTGCCTGATATGCCTTCATGCTATACAGGCTATGGTTCAATCTCTGCCGGCTGTTCCTACAGGTACAAAAGATTCGTTAAGATCTACAATTCTTTTTGTGATGGTGCACTCCTTGAACTCGTCCATAATGGAGAGCATTATTACTTTTTGAAGATCCATTGACTAGACCACGGTTTTACCTATATTCATCTATGTTGTCAGTTGAAACTGACTTTTTGTACTGTTTCGTTGCTACTTCATATTTAATTTTGTGATTCAAATAGTTTCGCATTCTGAACATGAAGCAGCATGTTGGTGTGGGTGTTTATACTTTATGCTTTATACTTTATTATGCTTCTTGATCTTGCCACACCTCTCACACTCCTCGTGGCCCAACTTCACGAACGAAATGTTTATGTCCGAAACAAATTAACTATACAAATCATAACAGTGATTCAGATTAGGGTTCTTCTGTATAAAGTCTGTATGCATGGTCTTTTACATTTACAGTACAACCCCGCTAATCCGTCCCCTACAGGACCCGGACCAAGGTCGGAACAGCAAAAAGGTTCGATTATCCGAGGACCATAGTAAATTGCCATATTAATTGACCACCTGATATTTATTAATCATGCTCTATGATAATGATAATAGGCTAATATCTGTAAGTAACAGAGTAAAATATCAATACCCCCGCCGCAGCAATCCTGCAGACTAAGTGAATTTCCATCTACATGGCTGGAATTCCACTTAATTATTCCTATAAAATTGTCAGATTTATTTCCTATTTAAATATCATTAATATTAATGAGTACTTAGGTTTGCTGCTACAGGGAAGAAAATAGGGGGTTTTATTGAAATATTAATAACTTAGTATGAAGTAAACAAAATTTCAAAATTTCATTAAAATATGTCCATAGACAAGCAAGCTACAACACTGTATTTATTCTCCATAAGAATAACTTGGTAATATTAAATTTACACTATTTTGCGATTTTCCGTAACCGTTAGGCATGCAACAATGCTTCAATATACTAAATTATTTTTTTTTTTTTTTTTTTTTTTTTAGTTATACAAAATGGTTTGGAAAGAAATTGCAAAATTTTATGTTTTCAGGGTGAAAAATTAAAAACCCATTTTTACCCCATAAAATCCCCCATAAACCCCTGTTCCCAAAGCCGGATCATGCTGGTTCGCGAACTCGTTCGAATAAATGTAGGTTTATACCAAATTTCATCATAATCGGATCATTTTTGCTCGAGTTATCCGCGCTAAAGGACATATATATATATATACAGGGTGAGTTTCTACTGACCGTGTTAACTTCGCCAGTGGGTTCTACTCACTAAAAGGAACAAAAAAGTTCCAATAAACCCATGTCCGATTTTCGACCGTTAGGCTGTTTTGGGGGATTTTGTGTTTTTCTTATTTTATTAGACTTTGCTCCACAATTTATGTAATAAAAACTTAACCAATTACTTTAGAGAGTTATAGTTAAAATCATTGGAAAGAACATTAAATTTGCTATAAATCAAAGGTTTCATTCAACAATTATTCCATTACATAGTCCACGTTATAACCAAAATAGAGTAAAAATGTCATTAAATTAATTAATTACGATAACTTTCATGAGCCTCCTTTGATACATAAACCTGCATTTATGCAATGTTGAAATGCATAAAAAACTTGGCATTTTAATAATCTTTCAAATGATATGCTATTCAATACTATTATTGATATAAACCAGTGAGAAATTACTAATAAACTACAATAAAACACGGTTTACAGATTTTGTTTTTCCACAGTTTTACTGTTAATAATAATTAATTACTGTATTCATCATGTTGGCATAATCTTGATTGGTAAAAGGCTCCATATTTTAATAAATGTTTGAAAAACTCTTAATTGACTTGGAAATATAAAGTTAAAACAGCAAATTACTCAACAAGGTATGTTCAAGCAGCTGAGTTATCTAGCTATAGATGACAAATCAATAAAAGCTGACTTAATCAAGCACAAGGTAAAACTAATTACACAGCATTTAAGAATCAAACACACTACATCTTTGAAAATGTGAAAAACCTTGAGTTTATACATTTTATTAATTCAGATAATTTTAATAAATATTTAAAAGTTAAAATAATGTACAAATTTTATCAGATAGTTCAATAAAATACATCATGGAGTATACAGTAATTATTATTAACAGTAAAACTGTGCAAAAACAAAATCTGTAAACCGTGTTTTATTGTAGTTTATTAGTAATTTCTCACTGGTTTATATCAATAATAGTATTGAATAGCATATCATTTGAAAGATTATTAAAATGCCAAGTTTTTTATGCATTTCAACATTGCATAAATGCAGGATTATGTATCAAAGGAGGCCCATGAAAATTATCGTAATTAATTAATTTAATGACATTTTTACTTTATTTTGGTTATAACGTGGACTATGTAATGGTATAATTGTTGAATGAAACCTTTGATTTATAGCAAATTTAATGTTCTTTCCAATGATTTTAACTATAACTCTCTAAAGTAATTGGTTAAGTTTTTATTACATAAATTGTGGAGCAAAGTCTAATAAAATAAGAAAAACACAAAATCCCCCAAAACAGCCAAACGGTCGAAAATCGGACATGGGTTTATAGGAACTTTTTTGTTCCTTTTAGTGAGTAGAACCCACTGGCGAAGTTAACACGGTCAGTAGAAACTCACCCATATGTGTGTGTGTGTATTTGAACGGATGGTGTTTTTGGCCTCTGGGGACCTCAAAACGAAAAACTAAATCGGTCCCGGGTCCAGGTCTTACCATGAGACCTACGGTAATAGCTTATTCCCTAAATGGGAAATTCGCTAAAAAGCATTCGATGCAAAGTCCAACTTCACATTTCACACACATGGTTCTCATAATTGATGACAGCCCTCCCCTGCACACCGCCGTTTCTTCTTTTCTGGAGTAGATGTTTTGAAATGTCCATCACCGTACAGCGTTTGCCACTCTGTTCCCAGAGATTTAGAGGATGAAGGTCTTCTTGCGCCTTTGGGGAGTTGGCACATCTTTATTGTATACCTCCGCCAACTGATTTCAAAAATCATGCTGGGATTTATTATTTCCACTAGCTTTGCTTAAATACCAAGCATTTTGAACAGCAGCATCAATTATCCAAGAAAACCAGGGCCAATACTGTTTCAAAAATTAATTGAGATATATATACGTGGGTTTTCTTTAGAATATTTACTTTTATTTTTATATTTTTAAAAAATTAATCTCAAATATACGTAGGATTCCTTTAGAAGATTTTATTTGATTTTAAAGTCAAAAAATATAATTCAGAAATAAAATAGTTGTAATATTACTGAGGTCTGTTATTCTGGATTTTTGCGTCGTGATGAAAAGTATTGTTCATAACTCGTGCCGAAAGTTATTTTCCGGCACTTGCTCCATTATTCCCGTCCTCAGCTTTGCCTCGCACGTGAAATTGGGATTTCCTGTGTTCTGCTTCACCTCACACAAAAACTTGAGCGCGCGGCGGAAAATGCCAATTTCGGTTCTCGTTATGATATATAATATTTCGCGTTGCCAAGCAAGTCCAAATTCAGGCATGTGGATTATCTGAACTGCACCAATGGCAGTAAAAAATTCGTACACACAAATAATTACTCTTCTGTTTATTAATTATGTACATAAACATACATGGCTAGATGTATGTTTGTAATTTAACAAAGATATTAAAAAAAACCTCCAACGCTTTCATTCGATATTTACTACTACATGAAATAGTACTAATGGTACTAATGAAATAGTTACGCAAAACTGTAAAACCAGTCATAAAATTAAATAGAGAAACACTTTGTCGATATATGCGCACTTAAGAATAACTAACATGAAACACACATCAAAACAGGCTCCAGATTTTGCAATCGGATGAAGTCTACTTGCATGATTCAAATTCAATGTTAAAGGGTTGTGATAGTTTAGAGGACATTGGCGGGATTTACTAATACTGCGTTGGTAAAGTTGAGGTATCGATTAGAACAGTGAGAACAGTTTTCAGCCTTAAGGGATGTATTAAAACTCGTACTCGTTGTTTTAAACTTCCCGATACGAAACTAAACAAGAGAGTTTGAGAAATACCTCTATGTTTTAATTGGTATTATTCTTCTTTCTTGTCACTAACGGTTCTGCTATACAAATACAATGAAATATGGAATGATAAAAATGTATTTTATATCAACATATTGGAAATAAAATGTAAATATTTGCAATCTACTTTTTTCCATGTTAAACTGTCTTAAAGGGGATGTAAAATTTAAAAGTGTTTTAAATTTTTTGAATAATATTTTTTATATTTTTTTTACATATTTGTGGGAGAGTGGTACATACTGGGACGTAAATATTAAAACATTTTTTTCTTCAATATTAGTTGACCTAGAAGAACAATCTTTACACAAACATAAAGCACTTTTAAAACACTTTAAAAGATTTTTTTTTCAAAATTATTAACTTATATTTAAAAGGCCAAAAACTATTTGTCCCGCTTTATACCACTTGTCCCAACATGTACCGACCCTGGTACAAGCTGGGACAGCAATATGGTACAAAGTGGGACAATAAATGGTACAAAGTGGGACATCCTGTTATGCATAGGAGGTATTCATAAATAAGACAGTTTCAGTCAAAATTTAAAATTTATTAATATGTGTGACCTTTAAAAACCTATAGTACATAGTTAGTAATCAACCTAGGCTATAAGGCTCGAAATTCCTCCATCTTTCGCATGCTCCAAAAACTTCTTGCGGCAAATCTACGGCATTATGGACCTGAAAAATAAATTTTTTTGTAAAATTCCACTAATGTTCTTTAATGAATAACTATGATATGAATGAATATGTCTATACCTATTTTAAGAGTTAAAGGTAGGTAGGTAAGTTATACTTTGGCATAAAACCGACCCCGCTAAAACTGTATTAATGTTATAAGTAGGTAAAAAAGTAGAAAGAAATTGTTTAGGCTAATTGAAAATAGATGTATTAAACAGTTTAAAAATACCTAAGCCTAACACAAAATTATGAAAATGGTGGTGTTTCTGGGTAAACCGCGTTAGGGTTCACCGTGAAAAGTAAGTTAAGGGTTTTTTATTTATTTAACAGGTACCTAGGTCCTATCCTAGGTAACCTACCAAGCAGATGAGGCATGTCATATATTTATATGGGTATGCTTGTACATATATAGCCTATTATGAATTGCTATAATAGTATAATAAATCAATTATCATTGCTTGTCCCACTATGTACCGATTTCCCACTTTGTACCACCTTATTTTACATTGTCCCACTATATACTACAAATAACTGTCCCACCTTGTACCACATGTAGGGTTATGTTGTTTTTAAGTTTTACTCCAAACAGTGCAGCTCAGACACCCCTGACCTCCTTCTATTGATCAAAGAAGGTTTTTTAATGTTAGGCATATCATATTTAACCTGTTTATCAAACTAATTTAATAAGAAAATGATGATTGCTTACCTCAAAAATGTAACTTTTGAGACTATAGTTGTAGCAGACTGTCATTCAGTACTTTCCAAACATGATTGAAACTTCAAAACTAACTCAAAACACACTGTTGGCCTTGTTACAACACTTTTGGAGAGAAACTGGCCACATGGCTTTGAAGAAAAAAAAGTTATATGGAATCTCCCACTATATACCGTGTCCCACCTTGTACCACTCTCCCCTATTATATAATTATTTCTTTTATGTGCAGAACTGTTTCATTATACCGTTATGGTTTGCAAACATTCCTCTGTTATTCAATGAGTTATTGCCATTAATGAGTTAACAGTGAAATCTGCGCCAAAATTGAAGAGCAACGTCTTTCTAACATCAAGACATTTGAGAATATTAACCATTGACAAACGTTTGAAAATACTTCAGATTTTACAATATTCTTAAGTTATCTTATAGTAATCTATAAGTAATCTTAATAGCATTCATTAAATAAGAAAAAGTTTTTTTTTAGTTAGATACTAGCAGTTTTATCAATCCTCGCATTAAGCTTAAAACTCAGAAAACAATGTGGCTTTTTAAATACACAGTAAAATACAATTTTACTATTAGTATATTGGTACGTATACAATTTAAATCAAGCTAAATACCCTTTAAATTAACAGAAAACGCAAAAAGGGCTATTTTGAGAGTTGAGTATGGAATATGTTTATAATCCTAGGTACCAAGATTATCTTATTGAATTATGCTATCAAATTTGGTCAAGTGTATTTTTCAGTGAAACAGACATCTCGCATTTCAACCAGTTGAGTTCGCATATTTTTGTACAGATCTATCATCAAACACTACGAGTTCGTTCCAATAAAAAAACAGTTTAATTTACTTTTTCGTGGTGTGCATGATTAAATATTCGCATCTTGCAATGGTAAAAAAACTCCGTGGAAAATATAACCTCCAACCAACTTGAATTAGAAATGTATGTTACATAAAAAGTCTGTAACAGTAAAACTCAAGAGAACGGCGCAAATGGTGGATAAATGCTGGGTTTTTACTGTTTAGAGAATGTAACGGAGATGGTAGTTATCTGTTTTATTTCACTGATTTGAGTATTCCCCTTCCGTCTCTAGCTCTTGCAATAACTAATGTTTAATTTAACGAAGGTTTTAACGTCTGCTGTATTTATTCATCGCATATTATTTCACCCGGACGTTTTTACTAACTGAGATGTGTTTTGATTTGCAACATTGCTTGATATTAAACAAGTACTTAAAATCAAATTTAGAGGACTGAGTTAAATAAATATCCTGCCAGGGATTTTAGAATGTATTGTTTATTTTTTTTGTGTGAAATTATTAGTTCATAGTTTATTTTGTCGGAAGATTAACTCAACTCTCTCGGAAGCAGTTTCTTCATTTCCAGTTCATTTCTTACTAATGGGTTTCTTCATCCTCAGCTCAACTTAAACTAATTTGTTTTCCTCGTCTGGGCTCACCTCACACTGATGTGTTTCCTTCTTTACCAGAAACTCTCATTGACGAGTTCCACTCATCCTAAAATTCATTGAAATATTTCTTTTCCTCTTCTTAACTCACACTAACATTTTTTATATATTTAAAACTCCTACTTATACTAATCATTTTTCGCCATCCTGAAATCAGTTTGAAATAATATTTATTTTTATTTTTAGCTTAACTTTAAAATTTTTTCCCTCGTCCGTGCCTTGCCTCACACAAACATATTTCCCTTTTTACAAATTCTACAGTATTTTGTATTAATTTTATTTTATTATCTTAGCTTAACCTCACATGAATTCGTTTATGTCATATTTAGCTCGGTGTTAAAGTTTAACTTGTACATACATTGGTTATAAAAATAATGTTTAATTCATTTTAATCATTAACATTAAACTATTAAACTATTACTAATATAATTACCTTTCTGTTTTTGAATCAATGATGTGTTTATTTTCTTTATTTGTTATCCTTTACGTTTTGTTTTTACGTAAGCTATTATGTAGAAATAAATCTGCGATAAGTTAATTTTGTTGTAAAAACAAGAAAAATATCATGGATTTGTTTATCTGTTTTTTACGGGATATAAAGATTGTATTTAATTTAGTCACAATTCTCCAGCTGAATTCCTACTTCGTAGACATAGTGATCCTGAACGGCGGTGTAGTGGTCGACACTTTCTTCGTCCTCAGTGGTTTCCTCACTTGCCATTACATCTTACAAGAGCTTGACAAACAAAAACGTTTCAACTTCGCCGTCGTCTTCTTCAACAGATGGATAAGGTAAATTTACTCAGCAAACTGTATCATGTATTGATCCACATTGCTGAGCTTAAGTTGGTTATTTATATGGACATCAGTATTGGATATTTTGTGAGTGTTTGTATATTTAATTAACTTTGAGCTAACTTGTAAAGTATTGTTTAAGGTTATTTATGTCCACTTTAATCTTAAAATGTTGGAAAAAACAATTTTGGAATTTTTCGTACAATCAATTGATTAACTTTTACACAATTACGCACACGTAAATGCGTATTTTAAGTGGAATGTGCATTCAGGGTGGATATTGAAAGAAGTGAGATGACTTTTATAGCTTTTCAGCTTTATTATATGTATAGAGTGAGTCTTCTAAGCTGTGCTAAACTGATTACAGACGAACGGCTTGACATACAGAGATGAAACAAAACTTTTCCCCTCTATTTCATACCCAAGGAAAAACGTAAAAATATGTTTTACCTTTTTCAAAATACAAGGTGTTAAGGGAACTGGGGGTCATAGGTTCGAATCTCAGAGTTTTCAAATGTAAACATATGCCATGTTATTTACAGCTTACAGCTCTAGACTAGACTAACAATTTAGTGGAAACAGAATTCATTTATCTTTTCCGTTTTAAAATGGTGGCAATTTTTATAGAAAATATTGATACTTACAGAATACCCTGTATCTTGAAAACCACTAAACTTATTTTCGTTCTGTTTGAAAATTCTTAATTTTTATAGGTTCAGCTTTAATTTGATATACGACAAGTCAACATTTTAAAAACTAAATATTGTTTCTATGATTTTAATTTTTATGATATTACTACTAATTTATTAGTATTGATAGTTAATAAATGTATAGCTAACCACAGGGATTGTCTGTGTTTTCTTGTGGTTAGAGTGACCGCCTCCCACGGCTATCAATTTGTGATTTTATTCAAATCACTTTTGACGATACTTGCAATGACCCAACAAATTAAAAGTTGGCATGAAAATCATTTTCGGGTATAATGCGTTTTTTTGTTTTTTTATTTTTCCAGGATAGCCCCTGTGTACATGCTTGTTGTTGCCTTCTACGCATTCGTGTTTCCACACCTCGGAGACGGTCCATTGTGGAGGGAAAGGCTCCTCAGAGAGTCGACAAGATGTCTTGACAACTGGTGGGCAAACCTGCTGTTTATCAACAATTATGTACACGACGATAACCAGGTAAACATACAATTCTGATGTTATAAAATGTATACTTATTCATGTAAAAGGGAGACGGGTCCCTGATCAGCCATGTTACTGAAAGCACTATCTAGTGAATGATATACCTTTGCAAGCTTAACTAGATCCTGATGTGTTACCTTACGACCACAAACCAGATAACGCATCGCCAACTTTGGCTATAGTCTGGATGACGGAACCTGTCTCCTAACCCTTCGTCTACCTCAAAAGCCTGGGCCAGACCCCAGTTGGACGGATTGTCAGAAGACAGATTCCATTATACAGAGTATAGGATGCTAAAATGTGGTTTTGTCACAACACGATAAATTTGTATGTAAATCACTTCAAAGAAGGCAGCGCATAGGATTTTGAAACAAGGTTAATTTCTAATTTGTACTTTCTAACTTTAGTCTCCTTCTTTTAACATTTTAATTCTCTATTCGAAGTTAAGATTTAAGATTATCAAATTATTCCTTCGCTATTTCTTGATCTGTAATGTATAAATTAACTTCTAAAATGCTTTTTGTGTGCATACGGAATTTTACAAATTATACAAATACAAATATTGCATATAATTCAAATTAATGTTTAAGGTAAGTGCTCTCATATATTTGTTCTTATTGTTCTTAAGATACATTGTTATATGACATTATAGCACTATTTATGTATTTAAGGTTAAACCAATAACAATAGATATTCTTAAGGTTGTATAAAATAGTATTTCATATCATACTACTTATTTATTATAATATTTATCACTTATTTATTATTATATTTATTACATATTTTCAGAAAGACACCCTTTATTAATACATTGAAAATTAGCGAAGCAGAATATATACAAAAAATGAAGGAATATTTTACAAGCAAACAAAGAAAGCGTTTTGAAACGTCTCCAGTTGGAAACCAGCATTATCGGCATTCATGCGATGATATGAATATTTATTCGTCGTAGAATGTTTTACTGCTTTCTAGCATTTCATATTTGCATTCCGTTTTGTTGTTTTACATTATTTTGATGTTCGTGCTATTTATCTGACGGTTTCATTGTCTACTCTTGTAAATTTTAAGTAGAGTCATTTCAGAGGAATCTTGTCATAAGAAACTAGTCGTAGTCTGTATTATGAAGTAGACCTTTTATTCATGGTTAATTCTAAATTAGTTCGTTAAACGAGTCAAATTTTCTGAACATGAGAAATTTCCAGTAGCTTATTGTATCCCAATTTTGTGAGGAATGTTTGGGAACATAATATGACAAAAAAGAAACTGAAAGATTTACTAGGGGCACACTTACAGTTAATAATTATTGTACAGTAAGATTATTATTGAAAACTAAATAAGATTATCGATAGCCGTAGCTATGTACTAAGATATGTGATTATAATATTTAATTGAGGATATTTTTTCCTACAATTACCTGACAAAGCGGGATTTGTTTCACTGATTATAGCACTCAAAGTAGCTGATTCCTGCATTTACTTACTTTGTCGCACTCCAGTATTGCAACTTAACAATACCATGGAGGAAGGAAAAACCTTGCCTAATTCAATCACCCATTTTGTGTTGTTTCATAATGGAAGTAAAGAAAAACATATGTGTGCTATTCCCGTCATATGCTAAAATCACCCAGATTGCAAAAAAAATCACCCTGATTGTATTGCCAATAAGTATATATTTGTTTTGATTTGATTGTTATTGTATTTATATTTTTTTATAAATGGTGAAATAGCGTTTGCAATCTGGATGACGTCAGAATGTGACGGGGATAGCGCACCTATGTTTTTCCTTCCACCATGGAACAACACAAAATGGGTGATTGAATTAGGCACGTAATACAGTACCGGCATGCTTGAAAACAAGTTAGTAACACTGCTTAATCGATCAGCTGGTGCAGTGTTGATTCGTCATTCCATTTGGCCATTGATACAACAAATTAGCTTTTAAACCTGTTGTTGCGCGTGAACCTAAACACAAACAATCAATTAGGCCTATGTCAGATTTTGGTTGATTATGTTTGTGAAATTTCATGCTAATTTGTAAAACAATTTCATTAAGGTCAGAATTTGCTAATTTTTGAAACTGCATCGTAAAGTCGGACCTGTGTATACAAAAACATAATTTTACTTATTATTTATGCGTTATAGGAACTGCAAGACAAATATATTGTATAACAAAAATTAGTATTGCATACGTTTTTTCTTCCGTTCTTATTCTTTTAAGGTCTTGTTGTGTCTTCCTGTTTTTATTTTTATATACCTGTCATAACTAAAACTATTTCATTTACACTATTGTGAAATCATCTGTTTTCGTTACATGTTTATAACCATCGAAAATGCATTATTACATTGTTTACTACACAAAAAGAATGTTTACTATGCAAAAGTAATGTTTACTATCCTACCTATTCTAAAAAATAATATTAGTTTCGAAATGTTGCTTGCCGTAATAAAGAAAAAGATAGTGTAACAAAAAGTGTCGTTCAAACACAAGTGAAAGTGGTTCATCACATATTCTCGATCATATTTACACTGCTTCACAAATTTTGCACTTTTAACATTATCATAAGTCTGTAATACATCACTTTCGACTCTTGTTATGAAATATACTATTGTGGTCTCAATTTCGAGAGACTATTTTGAGTTTTTTTACCTTACGAAATTCAAAAGTGCGATCATCCGTAGTCAACGTAAATATGAAGTATTGAATGACCGTAGCTCAGGAACTTACTTAATTATTACAATTTACTTTTAAACAAAAGCTTACAGTCTTTGTTGAATGAACGCACTGAACTGAAGTGATATCTTGTCAAGTCCTGTTTGCAACTTTGGCCAAATAGTTTACAAGGGTATTAGTCAAACTTGATAACTTCACCAACACCTCGCATTTACATCAAGTGTTTCACAGTATCACAGACACGTGATTAATCATTGAGGCAAAGTTTTGTACTTTGAAATACGTAATTGTAATACATGATGTAGTAGAGTGGAATTGTTTCAAAGCGAAATACAGGGGTCCCTTAATGAATATTCGTACTGTATTGACTCTTAATTGTTCTAAACATTATTTAAATAATTTTATCTACTATATGCATTAACTATGTTTTGAAATATTCTGTCAGTTTTATTATATCTGTGAATTCTTTGAAAAAATGAGATTGTCAAAATACAAGATAAACAACGATATTTAAGATCTATAATCCGGACAGATTAAATTTAAATTAGTTAAAAAACATTCCCCTATAATTGTCAGCAGGCTGTTAAGTTCTCCCATAGTAGATTGTTGATTTATAAATGTCACTTTTATATTTGTATGTTGTTCAAATTAAACGCAGGCCTTCTTGATAGTAGGTAAAGATTTATTTATATTAAACCAAAATATGATTAGTTTGGCGTACTATTATTAATTTCCTAAATCGTAGATGGGGTTGTTTCATGTCTTGTAATAGTTGATATAAGTACATCAAAGGTTTGAAGCAGACAACGCTTCACAAAACATCATCTCCCGCAGAAGTTGCACAAAGTGTTCATCTGATGTCTGCAATCACAGCAGCTGCAGCGTCTTTGTGTTGCTTCAGTTTAGATTTGCTCTTCGTTTGGCAAACGATAGCATTAATGTACACTTTAATACATTTATATAAAAATGTTTTTTATTCATAATAGAAAGTTGCTATAGTTGATAACAGCTGTTTTTCTCAAGCACTAATTTAGAGAAAGGAAAAAACGATCAGCTGATTTTTTTCTACATACACTTCTCTTTGCTCTTAATCAGTCCTTGTAATATTTCATTTCATTTCATTCATTATTTAGTATTAAGTTTTTTTGTAATGTTAACTTCTATTCATACACCTAATAATCACTCCTCAGAAAGACTGTCCTAATATTCATTTTCCTAATTTATATAATTTCATTAATATAATTAATCATTAATAATATTCATTCATAGCCTATATTTTTTACAAAACCCACAACCTAATCATTTATTAAATATGTAAGAGAATTGCAATACATCAAAATTTCTTATAATATCATTTCAAAATTAGTCCTTAAGGAATCAAAATTTAAGAAGCAGTGAAAGTGATCCAATGTGTTCAACAATGAGTGATGTGAACATTGAAATTGAGAGAGAAGGAAGCCATTGAGAAGTTGAAGTTGTTAGAAGAAGGAGTCAAAATTTTACTTAAATCAAATTCATTCATCAAGAAGACCAGTTTCAAGTTATATCACAGTAGCCTAAACCTCAAGAGGACTCAACTCAATCATTATCTTCAAAATTAAGTATAACCTTTTCTTTAAACTCTTTTAAATTTTGTACTAATTGGACTTACCTTTTGGACAACACCAAAATTAGATTTTCCATTGTTGAGATTGCGTAAGTTTAACACTTTAATTAGGCCTATTTGGACACTATTAAATTTATCAATTATTAGCATTCAAGCCAGCACGAAACCCTACCCTGAGATATATCACATCTAAATTATTTGAACCTTCAAGTTATTATTCAAATATATCTTTTATTTCAATTTAATTTCAACCCCATACACCATTGTCAATCCTTTCATTATAACGTCAAGCCTTTTCTCATTGCATGTTAATTGTTCATTTGTTTAAATAAAACACCTTTTGTAATCCATATCTTTGTTAACTTATTAACTTTAAACATTTATAGAGAGTAGGCCTAGCCTAAATGAATATTATAAGGTGAGTTTACATCCTTTACATGCCCACGACTTGTTTCATGTTTGTTTAAAATTTGTTCCTGTTAATAAAAAAAAACTGTTTTGGCTGATTAGCAATAGAAATATGAACAGAAAATATGTATTAGCTAGTTTTGCCGTTTCAGCCACTAGCACGAGTCTACTGTACAATTAATTAACCTAGCCATGAATTTAAATTTATAGTTTGCACACTTTTATTTACTTATGCAACAAGCTTTTACTTTTCTTTTTTTACTAAAATAATGTTAATTAGGAATTTTAATATTTTTAATTTTACTGGTGTATGTTATTCTGTGTATGAGTTTTGCGTTATGATGAAAGAATCATTCATAACTTGTACCTTAAGAGATTTTCTAGCAACTGATTCAAATCATTCCAATCGCTCGGCTTTACCTTACACATGAAAATTGAGTGGGTACTGGAAAATGTCCCTTGCAGTACTAATTATAAAATATACTATTAATTGAATAAATTAAACTGTTTGCGTCACGTTTTGTACTGTTTTGATCATAAAACTATCCGTTCATTTGCCGACTTAAATAACAATAAGTCACTGTGTATGTTAAATCCTTTTTAGAGTATTGGCATTGAGAGTATTGTAATATGTTTGTTGCAGTGTATGGTACAGTCGTGGTATCTAGCGTGTGATATGCACTTCTTCATGATAGGCTCTGTGTTGGTATATATACTCTGGAGATGGCCCAAGTTAGGGAAGGCACTTCTGGGGCTAAGTTTGGCCACTTCAATCGTCATCCCAGCAGCAATTACCTACTACAACAGCTACTATGGTGCCGTGCTACATTACTTCAGGTAAGATCCAATGAGGCAACTTTCATTAAACATATTTCACTTATTTATTCAGTATTTGTAATATTTCTACAATACAAACAATTTTACTAGTCCCGAAACAGCATTAACAACTGGTATGGATTTATAAATTATCTTTGTGATTCGATTACAAAGTGTAATAATATAGTTATAGTAATAATATAGTATAATATAGTTTTGTAAGATTGAATGCCATTTTTAATCGAAATACTTCTAATCCCCTTGAAAATGTAAAAAAAAATACTGTGTACAGCTTTACTTTCGGATACCAAATTTAACATTCCATCGATATGGACCGGCTGTCACATATTTTATAAAAAAGAGATAGTTCTTGGGGCTACTTTTAGATTGTACTAGTGTTTAAAGTTCTGTTTTCTGCTTTATTCTTTCAATTTTGATATATTTGACGTGATAAAACCACTTTAAAAATCATAGGTATTATTAGAGGATTTGACTATAAAAGGATGATGCCCTTTTATGTAAAAATTATCGGATAATGTCTTGTACTAGCCTCATGCAAGACCCGATGTCAGAGCAACACTACAGAGACCTCTACATCCCTAGTCACACAAGAGCTGGTCCGTATCTCGTTGGTATTATTGCTGCTTACATCTACTTACAGCTCAACCGAAGAAACTTTAAATTCTCACAGGTAATTGTTTTTCAAGTTCCCTCTTTTCTTTTCTCTCCTGATTATGGTGCCAAACATGTTTTCAATGATTTTTTACTTTCAGACTTAAATCACTTTGAATTAGCCATACTATCATGCAGGTACTCACTACCACCACGAGAAAAATCAATAACTTTGTAACGGGACCGAGCTGCTTTTAATAATTTAACTTTTAATCCTGGCAAAATAAGCAAATAATAACCTTGTAGTAGAAAATATACCACATAAAGTAGTGCAAGAACATAAGGATTAATCATCTCAAATGTTACTTCCATTAAGTAGGTTAGATAGATATTAAGAATTCTTTTAGTTTAAAACTAAAATTATATAAAATCAGCAGTTCATCGACTGGATTGTGAGAAAAGTCAGTAGCTTTTAATGCCAGACACTACTAACCAGTCCTTGGTCCTAAGTAATAAACTTAGTAACTAGCATAGCTATTAGAGGACTCAAACTGTATCCACCTTGGATAAAAAATGCTTTTGTTGCATCCCCATCTCAAATTTCTATATTTCACCACAATTTATTCTTCTAAAATAGTGTACTTGTCATAAATAAATAAAGTTAATTCACAACCCACCCGAGCAATAATGAATCGTACTCTACAACTAGACGCATTAAAAAATGAAAGTAAAAATCAACCAATCACCCTAACCAGTATTTACAGCAGGCTTTCGATTGGTAATATACACGTACCTGACGCAGCTGCAATCCCACCCTAGGCTTAAGAGGACGGAGAAAGAAATTTATGTTACAGTGCTTAATGTGATACAAGTCCAAGTCTGGATGACTATTGCGACTGTGCGACTAGCACAGCACCACTTCTCTAGAAGTTCCTGCTCGCTAGGAGCACATACTTCGCGGCTATTTCGGAGGACATTGTCCTACAACAGCCAAAGTAGGTTTCTATCCCTCTGACACATGCGCAACGCAACGACCCCTTATAAAAGTGAGATTCAGTTAGAACATATTTTAATAATTTATTCAGGATGATTTGTTTTTTTTTCCTATTAATGATGATCGTGTTGATAAGAGTATTTTTTTCTTTGCTCAATGTTAGAATTTAATAATTAACAATGACGTTACAAGAAGATAAATTCGAGTTTCACTGAATGGTAGCCAATTAAATTGAACATTACAGCAATCACAAGTTGGTAGCCACAAACACAAACTTGGCGTCTCTTGCTTCACCCTCCAACAAACTTATATCAATCATTGCGTTTGATATTCCAATCACTGCTTGTTAATTTAGTTATCTTCTTTGCGCCAGAATGCAAATAAACCAGCAATTTAATTATATTTTCAATTGGTATTATTAAATTAAAAATATTTGTGTATGTAAAAGATAGTGCATGATTGTTATACATGTTGAATAAAAAGACAAGACTTCACAATGTTATATTTTTCTAAGTAAATATACATAGATGTCCTTTTGGTTTACGTGCAATCATAGCAGGAACTTTGATTTTATGATTTTGGAAATTTGAGTTTCCCCAAAAATGGGGTATTTTGGACTCGCCTCAAAATTTATAATGTAAACCCCTTTAAGTGATGAAACCCCAAAGAAAATGTAAACCCCCTCATTTTGAAGTGTCAACGAAAACCTTAATGACGATGACGTCTACTATTACATTAATTAACACAATTTTTTTTCTTCTCTTTTTAATGTGTAGAGTTTAATACATTTGACGGGCCAACATTTTGGATAGAGACGTGATAGCGAACTCTGAATTTCACCATTCTTTTACGTTTTTAAACACTTCTAGATGAAGTGTTGCTTGAAGGAGGTTACGATTTAAAAATTTGGACTTGCCCCCAAAATCCTCTAAAAATCCCCCAAAATCCTCTCTCTAAATTCCGTGGTTTTTTTTGGTAGATCCTCAAAATTTTCAAAATAATAAAATGAACCTTCCTGCTAATTTTGCACGACCACCTAAACAAAGGATATCTCTGTATATTTACTTAGAAAAATAATAGAGGGGGGGTCTTGACTTTTTATTCACCCTGTTTAATACGTATATTACTCGTGTATAAAACGAGTGTTGTAAGAAAGAGGCCCCTTGCATTTTATAGCTAAATACTTAAATTCTTACTACATATCTTAAACTCTTAAAAGTTTCAACTTTTAACCAAATGGTAAAAAACAACTGTTCAACGCTTAAGATTTAATTTTGTATATCTGTTAATCTAGGGAGTCCTCAGATACAGAGGAAGTTATTCTTGCATAAGGCTTATTTTTGTTATTCAATAAGTAACCACCAACTTAAGTTGTACACTCAAGATGACTGGTAGATTCACCTTTTTCTCGTTTTTTTCTACTATTCAGTTTTCTGTGAAGGGGTTCTTTTGTATTTTTCAGCTTTGGCTGGACTTTTACTAAGCTATGTTTTAGTACATTCACACCTGAGGAAGAATCCAGATTTTCAAGCGTCACGAAAACTTGCTATGAGTCGTAATGGAAATATCTTCATTTATACTTCTATTCAATGTTGATTATAATCCCTTAAATAACACCACCACAACAGATCCCTTTCACACAGACTCCTGCTTGTCTCTAGAGAGCGATGGTAGGAGGATCTCTCATGGCCGGTGTCCTCCTCCTCGGCAGCATCGCTGCAGGATGGATCAGCTACGACAGGGCGAGGCCCTACATCCGCTGGGAACAGTCCCTCTACTCTGGCATACACAGGGCAGCCTGGGCCGTGGGACTTGCGTGGTACATCGTTGCAGAGGCAACAACTGGATTTGGTAGGCAACACACTGTTCGTGAAGGCTAAAATAAAAAAAATAAAACGGATTTAGATAAATGATATAAATATACTTTTGTAGAAGTTAATTTTATTGTTTCAATTTTCCTGTCATGATAAGCTCTGGAAACTTTGATTCAGTTGACAAATAGCCGGGCTTACCGAACACCGAATCTTAGTGGTGTCGTGTTAGTGATAGATAAGTGTGTCTGCTGGTATGAGGCCATTCCTCTTAAACTATCTTATCACCACAGTACTACCTGCGCCTGTGAAATGTCTTTCTTTAAAGATGTTTGTTTTGATATCGATTGATAACTAATTGAATCATGTCGATCAATTGCCAATTCTAAGCTAGTTACAAACAGATGAACTATTTATAGATATCCTGCCATAGGATGTGGATAATATATGCTACTTCACTTTGAAAACATTCCAAAGCCTGGGGAAAAAACTTAAAACACCGGTATTCATTGACTAATCTTCATTGGCTTCTAGTTAACCGCATATCTCCGGCAAAATACTTCGAACTCGGTTTATGGGTCGTGTGTTTTCATATCTTCAGCTATTTCTTCCTTATACTTCTTCTCTTACTTTCTTTCCAACTTTTCTTATTCAGATTTACTTTGGCATTCCTACCCTGCCTCGTGTGCAGTCTAGTTCATGACTTTCTATTGCATCCTACTCTTTTCGTAGGCTATGCCTTACCATTTGATCCTCCCTTAATCTCTTTATCCTTGGTTATCAAGGGTCTTCACTAGCACTGACCCTGTTTTAAGATACAGGTTGTTTGTTAGTGTCAGAGAAAGGGTCATTTTGTTCATCAAAACATAACTGCCTTCACATTAATGTCTCGAGTTAGGTGTTACTTATCTATACAGCATTCCTCTCCTCTCTGGGTACATTATACTAACTAAACTACTATTTTAGGGGTGTTCTACCTCACTGTCAAACACAGGTTCTTCACTCCGTTTGGTCGTCTTACATATTGTGTGTTCCTGGTACACACCATCCCCCAGATTTATCTTACAGCATCCGCAAGAGTTCCTGAGTACCTCTCGGTACCAAAACTGGTAACTATTGACTTTATTTCAATATTTTTCGCCTGTTAAATAAGTGTATGGAATTAAAAGGTAACACAAAAAGCAAATGTTCTGCTAGAGGAGATCTTTTCATGATAGGTTGAAGAAACCAATGTGTCTAGTACTCTATTAAAATGTTTAATACTTATGTCTTTTTGGGCAAAACAATTTTGAAAAAATATTTGTGGGGCTTACCTACAATTTAATAACGTGATTGAAAATAATATGCTGTGCTGTAAAATGAAAGTTTTTTGTTAAGTTATACCAAAGGAACTTTTGATCTTAATGAAAAATTCGCAATGTACTTAGATCCTTTGATTTTAGCGAATTTCCCTATAGGGAAGTAGCTATTACCGTAGGTCTCATGGTAAGACCTAGGCCCGGGACCGATTTACTTTTTCATTTTGATGTCCCCAGAGGCCAAAAACACCATTCGTTCAAATTTTTATATATCTATATATAGATATATATATATATATATATATATATATATATGTGTGTGTGTCCATCCGCACGATAACTTGAGTAATTTTTGTCCGATTTTGATCAAATTTGGTTTGAAGGTGTAAGGCGGGATAAACTTGAACGAGTTCGCGAACCAGCGTGATCGGACTATGGGAACGGTGGTTTATGGGGGGTTTTATGGGGTAAAAATAGGTTTTTCCCATTTTTGACCCTAAAAATACAAAATTTCACAATTTCTTTTAAAATCATTTTGTAGAGCTTAAAAAACAAATAATTTAGTATATTGAAGCGTTATTATGCGCCTAATTGTTACGGAGAAAATTCAAAAAAATTGTAATTTTAAAATTCCCATGTTATTCTTATGGAGAATAAGTCAACTGTTGTAGTTTGCTTGTTTATTAACATATTTCGATAAAATTTGAAAAATACATTAATTTATAACTAAACCACAGTACCTTTTAACATTTAACATTTAAAAAACATTTTTACCCTCCCTGTTGCAGCAAACCTAAGCACTAATTAAATTAATTCTGTATAAATAGGGAATAAATGTGATATTTTTAAGGAGACATTTAGTTTAAATCCAATCAGGCAAATGGAATTTCGCTAAGTCTGCAGGTTTGCTATGGCGGGGGTATTTTAGGTGTTTTTAGTTATTCCACTTAACTATTCCGGAGTAATCGTTGTCCCGTTTCGACATCTGCCTTATTTGTGGGAACACACTGTATATCGCTTGATTATAAACAGCACAAACCACTTTAGTGGCAGCACTAGAACAATAATGAGTAGAGGATAAGCTAGTATTCTTGAGCACTAAGTCTATAATGTTTAGACCAATTCCATAACAATTCTATATTTTAATTTGATTCACACTAACAATTATTAAAATTTTCTTTAAATTACGCAGAGTTGCATACAATGTAACGATTCTATGTTCATGAAACGTAATTTTCACAGTTTTGGGTGGTGACTGGGGACGGAGCTGCTGCCTACATTTTGGCTCTGTGGCTCAACCTGCTTTTCGAGGCACCTCTTGAGAGGTTACACAAGAAAGTTGTCAGAAGGTTTTTACAAGGTTGGTAAATTATTATAGGTTAACGATCAAAGGATCTTTGCAAAATACACTATTAGTGTCACACCAAGTAAAACACCAATAATCATTCATCCAACTTCTGTGAACCACATGGTTCGGAGGCCATTTACTGGTGATAACTATGCCGTATAGTATACACAAAGAGTACTGTCTATATGTGACTACCTTTTTCAATTGATTTCATAATAGATGAGGTTTTCCAGCGTATTCGAGGCTTTTGTGTAGAAGGCGTAACTTACCAAAAATACCCTTGGAATGAAAAATAGTTAATTTAATTTTGCACTAACAATGTGCGAGGAGTCATCTAAGAGTCGAAATAAATTACACCTAGCAAACCTCTTATGAATAAATTTACCAACAAATGTTTTCTTAATGGATTTGTTTCTGGAAAACAGTTGTTCTGGAAAGCTGTTGGATCAATAAAACACTTAGCCAAATGCAGGCATTTTTTAATACTAACTACTATTATGTTGTTTATTATTTGTTTGTATATTTGCCTTTGGCATTTTTATTGATTTACGTAAAAAAATTATTTAAGAGAACGGTCCTAACCCGGGTCTTTTTACTGTCTGATCTCCATATTTCTGTCAAAATATCACTAATTCATTAGGTCGATGAAAGATACCACTTGAAATCAAACCAGTGACCATCAGATTTGTAGACTTTTTAGACCTTTTATTTACACAGCCAATGAATATGATAGTCATTAACGTCCTATTTTTGGCACTCTTTAAATACCGCATTGGTCAAATCAATGCCTTTAATACATGTTAACGCAAGTAACAATGGAGAAGTGACATTTTGTATAATTAACTGGTCATATAGTGGTTATAAGCGCTGGGACTTGTAATTCATAGGATTAAAATTTTAGAAACAAAACTTTTAGCGGTTTTATTAACTTAAAATTATTGTTAACGTCCGTCTATTCAATACGTCAAAATAAAAATTGAAATTATTATCGTTAGTATTAATTTTTATAATTCCATAATGCAAAAGATATTCAGAAATTTTATTTTTATTATTAGTTTTGTACAGTATTTAGGTGTATTTGACAGAAAGTTTAGAGAGAAAAAGTAATTAAGCCATTGTAAAAATTAAAACCAGAAAAGAATGTTTATTCTTACAAAATAATATTATTTGTCTTACAGTGATTAGCTGTTGTTAATCCAGTATTATTTTATACAGACTAAAAGAAGACATTACCATAAAGAACTACATATATTATGAATGATTTTTATGTTATTTTTTAATGTTTACAGGAAATAAAACGAATACACCTGACGACGTTGAGTTGGCTAGAAACGGTGACCAGAATCAAGACTCAAACAGTAAACACGACGAACAAGAAACAAACAAGATTAAAAATATAATCTAACCCGGTGTTAGATTAACTTGTTGATTATGTAAATTTAGAACTACAGTTACCTGTGGGCGACTCAAGTTGTGCATAAATAATTTATCACAAACACACTATAATTAAGATCTGTTTCTGAAATGTTGATACTACGATAAGATAATTGTTTATAAGAAGTCTATTGCATTAGGGGGGGGGGGGGGGACAACAAACAAAAGATAATAATTTAAGTAAAATAACAAGTACACACTCTAGAATACTAAGCATAATGTCTTGCTAAAATAATGTTTAAATAAATGTTATAAAAAACATTTTACATTTGAATTTTTTTATTAAATTTGCATTAAATCAAGGTCGTATACGAATATTGAATAAGTTACTCTCTAAGTTTTGAAAATAATGTTTCTACTGTTAAAGTTTATTACGATTTAGTAGGCCTACTCAGCTGCTATTTGTGATGCGTTGGTAGGAATATCATTTCAAAAATATAGATTTGAACATTGACATTCGAATAACAAACATAATCTAAGCAAGTTTTAAAAGGTTTGCTGTGTTAATATTTGGTATTTTCCCTTTTTAGCGAATTTCCCTATAGGGAAGTAGCTATTACCGTAGGTCTCATGGTAAGACTTAGGCCCGGGACCGATTTACTTTTTCATTTTACTGTCCCCAGAGGCCAAAAACACCATTCGTTCAAATTTTTATATATGTATATATATATATATAGGTATATATATATATATATATATATAGATTTATATATATATATATGTGTCCGTGAACACGATAACTTGAGTAATTTTTATCCGATTTTGATGAAATTTGGTTTGAAGGTGTATGGCGGGATAAACTTGAATGAGTTCGCGATCCAGCATGATCGGACCATGGGAACAGGGTTTTATGGGGGGTTTTATGGGGTAAAAATTGGTTTTTCTCACTTCTTACCCTCAAAACACAAAATTTCCCAATTTTTCTCTAAACCTTCTTAAAGAGCTTAAAAAAACAAACAATTCAGTATATCAAAGTGTTTTTGTACGGTTATTGGTTACGGAGAAAACTTAAAAAATGGTAAATTTAAAATTCCCATGTTATTCTTATGGAGAATATTGTAAAATGTTGTAGTTTGCTTGTTTATGGATATATTTTGATCAAATTTGGCAAATTTATTTATTTCACAGTAAGCTATCAATATTTTACTAAAAACACACTACTTTATTAGTTTCCTTGTAGCAGCAAACCTAGGTACTCGTTAAACCTAATGTTATTTAAATAGATCAATTGAAAATCAATTCGGCCAAATGGAAATTCGCTTAGACGGCAGGTTTGCTGCGGCGGGGGTATTTCCTTATTGCATACTACTCTAAAGTATGTAAAGTCTGTAGTTTGTATGATGTAAAACGTCTTAAGAGTAAAATATGTTAGAGGTTTTTTAGAGGTGTGTTAGTTATAGTAGAGGTCGCACCGAGGTCGAAAACTCAACCAAAAATATGTAATCTACAAACTTTTCTATTTTCGCCCCATGTTGTAAATAAAACATGTGATTGGAATTCCATAATTTTTTTTTTCTGTATATATTTTATTGTTATTTCGTCACCAGCATGGCAACCCATAAGGCACTTGGTATTTTTTTATTTATTTTAAATAAATTTTTTTGTTTGTGTTTTGAGCCTTTTAATTTATAAAGGAATTGTACACTTCTACAGTCAAATATGTTTCTAACAATATGCGTAGATTTTCCTTGCGATGCACACGAGCTGAGAAATAAGGTTTTCAGGAAACATGCTTGCCTATTAATACATGTATATAGGATGATTTATTAGTACCCTTTTTAATTAGGTACATTAAGGCTTTGATTTTTAAATGAGACAAATGCTTTAAAGTATATTTCACCCTACCTTTCAAACTATAAATATAGCTTACATGAAAATAATAACGCCTCTTATTAGTTTCATTCAATAAACGTGAAATTTACTTACTGTTTTTTGCATCATATAAATAGTTATACACATTTCTATCGTGCTATACTAAGGCAGACTGAAATACAGCTAGCTTTTTAGAGACAGTAACCGCATTAAGAAATACTTAAGGTTTAAAAGGGCAGACGGGAGTCTATAACTAGGTTTCTTCTTCAGATAGATGGCTTAAAACTAAGTTAGCCACGATGAAAAACTGTTAGGTATTCCCCATTAGCATATGTAATGAGCTAATTTGTATCAACTTAAAGTAAATACATTTGAATGATAATTTTGGATTTAATAATACAAAAAAATAATTATAGAGAAAGTGATCCAAACGAATCAAATGTTGTGGATATCTGGGGATCGAACCCGCATTCTCGCACCGAAAGTAGTCATACTTTAAATTAAACATGTCCCAAAATAATTATCATCCACAAAGTTTAAAAATTCATCATTTTTTGGGTTTAAAATGTAATCAGTAATTCGACTTTTCGCTATTATTAATTGAAACCCTTTTGTAGTTTTAAACGCAAGAAACGTTTAAAAAGGCCAATTAATATTAGTAAAAATTATCATGCTCGTAATTGTTACATTGTGCAACTTTCGAAGGAAAGGTCTACAAGCACAGAACGTGAGTTTTACCCTGACAATATTTTAACACAATCTATCACGCTATTAACATACTTTTTTCACACAAATGCTTAAATAACTCCTAAGCATATTTTTGTTTGAGACAATTTAATTATCTTTAATGGAGATTTGGAAATGGAACTATAATGCTATAAAACTACTCATTCTAATTACATTTAGTGGATGGAAGACTATAAAAAGGTACGTAATATATACAATTAAGTTTCTTTTTTATTCTCACGCAATTTTTTAAAAGCAATTATTGGAAAAGAAATTAAGTTAAATTCTATTGTCTAACTTTAGGTTGTTGATAGTTGATGAATGGTATTAATTCATAAGCGTTTCAATTTATTTGAGATCTATTAAATACAGTACTTACAACGCGTGTGTGAAAGTTTAATCTGATTTTCAACACAATATATTTTATAATTACTAATCTAGATGGAAGGTGATTTTGTAAATATCGCTTTTTATTGGCAATTAATTAGAAAATAAGTTATTAAGCACACTGCAGAATGAAAAGGTTGTTAACCTATTCAAAATTACCCAACTAAAATCATATGGACGCGTATTAACAAGAGAATGAAATCATACTGATTGTGCAAACAAATATAATTTACTGAGTTAAGAGTTTTTAGTTTGTAAGAGATGAATGCTATAAACTGGTAAATGTTACTTTTAAAGAGATTTATAAAACAATACAAAGATTTAACGAGAGACGGGACGATTAGAGATCTAGATTGCTGTGAACGTTTATCAGAAGATAAAAGAAACCTTATTCTGGTTCAAGACTTTTCTTTTACTGTCTTTCCAATTAGACCTAAAACTAACATTACTAACAACGTCAACGTGTTTTAAAACAATAGGAAATAAAAGTTGTATCTCCATTGTATTGTTTTACTTCTGTTTATGTAGGGTAAAAGCAATTAAATGTTTCATAGTGCCAAATTGACAAAACAGTCATTATGAACTGAGGTAATGTGTTTTCTTCGTTACTATTGCTTTTGATGTAATCATAAAAAATAGTTCTGTAAAACAATTTTAGTAGTCGTACTTATGTTCGTAACATCATCATTACAGCCTTTTATTTTATTGATTTAATAATGATTAATACAAAAAATAAGAATATTTTTTTATTCAATTTAGTGTACATTATTGTATGGTGTTATTCAACAAACAAATATTTAGCATTATAAAGCATTGAATCAATTTACTAATTATAATAAAAGCTAATCATTGTGTGATTTGCTGACCATCCTGTATGTTTGTTTCTTTACTGTTGTATTACACGTACTTTACTGTTGTATTACACGTATCTAAGTATGTACACTTAAATGATATAGCATTACTACTAGTATTGTGCAATTAGACATAAACCTCAACATTCAAAGTTAAGGGTTACTTTTGACTCCAAACTGTATCGTCCCCGTAATGTGTGGTAAAAAGTAGTACAATTTTGAGCGCTGGGTTTGAATGGGTTTTAAGTTTGAAAAGTTTTTCCTGTATTTTGAAAACCATGTGGTTTAGTGCAATAACCCCTATTTACAAAAACGATCAACGATAAATGACAAACCAGAATGGTCATATTCAAATCTTGTCTAACAAAACGTTACAAAGTTGAAAATATTTCAAAATATTTCAACGTTTTAAAAGTCAAACACATTATGTTTTGTTTTACTTTTATCGTTTGTTTCATATGCAGGGTGTATTTTTTTACTCAATCCAAATAAGTACAACTACTGTGAGACTCGTTTTAACCACAAAACTAGGTTATGACAACAGTCGTTTATATGGACTTATATTGAGTATAATAAGATTTTATCTATCTCACAACTTTTTTCTTATAGAAGATTTTCCTGCAAAAAATACTGTACTACAAACTGTTGATAGCCAACACCGCTTTCAGTTATAAGTAGTTATATTTAAAAGTGGAAGCAACACACTTTGAAAACCGTATTTTTCCTTTGCTTTTTTTACTCTATCGCTCTCTTGCCCAGCAAACTTAACCGACACTTGTTCTTTATTATCTGATTCCTCTTCTTCCGAAACATCTGTGATAGCAAAAATGTAAGATTAAATTAGTCATCTACACTGAACATGATTCGAGACCTGTTCTATAAAAACAGTGAATTTTTTTGGGAAATCTGTTTATTTTATTTTATAGAACAGTAATAATGAGTACAAGGTTTAATATTGATTAACTATATTTCATTAGCTTATAAATATTAAGCGCTAGTACATTGCTAGTTATATTTTGCCAATATGTCTTGAGACAATAAAACATTTTCAATTATGATTTACAATTTAAAAACTAGGTAATCTTTGTGCCCAGCAAGAAATGAAAATAAAATTCAACAACATTTTCAGGTTATTCAAATTTCAAAACTTACCGTTAACGAGATAAAACTAAACATAGGCTATTAGTATCTACCTACTTGTACATAATTTTTTTTTTTTTTTTTTTTACTATGGTAACTTCAATTCTTGAAGAAAATCTTTCTCTCAAACCTTTTTATACATATATTATTGTGAATATATTCGATGATGATAAGATCTAGGAATTTTAAATCTTGTCTTGAATCATCTCTGTCACTATTACAGTTATATTATTTTTTATTTAAACTTAATTATGCCACTAGTATTTTTTCACATGGTTTGCTCTTGTAACTCCACTTAGATCATATTTTCACCTCATAATATCTTCTGTTAATTATTTATTTAGATTTTGTTTTTGATAAATAATGTTATGTTTGGACGCAACTATAGTCGACGCACAGGCTCGCTGCGTTATAAACATGTACGCTTTGTAAACATAGATGTAATTCAAAGGTTAATTTTATGTTATTCTTTTAAATTCACTTATGTTTTTCTCCTTTAAATAGGATTTGTGTACAAAGTCTGTAAATAATGTGTCGGAATAAAGATATAATTCATAAATTCATTCATTCATTCACTCTACTTGATATTTTCCGTATCTGGTAGGTACGTGATATTATTGGAAGTTTAAATAGAGGTAGATAGGTGATCTATTGGCCGGACAAAAATGATCAGTCTTTTGGGTGACACTCGTACTTATAAATGGAGACTATGCCATTGACCAATTTTACTGTATAAGTTTTTTTGAAATAAGCCTCTTAAAAAAATTAAAACATAGGAATTTAATGTACATTAGGAATAAACTCAGGTAGAATTATCTACTGATTTTAAGATATTTTTTTAGTTATACTTAAGGTACGTTTTGCATGGAGCGACAGTTGCGACTGTCGCCGAGCGGCGGTCGCGGGGTGGTAGACTGTTTTGCTTGGAGCGACAACTTCAACGTCTTCACGTCAACTTCAACTTGGCGTCACGAGACGTGGTATCGTCAGTGCACCTAACCTCAAAAGTGTGCACTAAGTATAAAGTCACTTAATAAATTTGATAAATTTACTTAGTAATACAGGTGAAACTTAACATTAAAGTATTCTTTATAGGCCTAGTTATTTGTTATGAGAAACATTCCAAAACTGCAATGTCACAAGCCAAAATGTAATAAAATTACTCAATTTCTCCGTAAATTGCAGTATACAAGCATAACTTGAATTGGAAATCAGTGTTATAAACAACCTCCTCCACAGAGTGAAAAATATATTTTGTTTATTGTATTGTAAATGAAAAAAAAATACCAATCATATTATATACTCTATTAATATTTGGATAGCCTCTTTTTAAAACATTACTGTAATAATTGGAATTTTATATATTTAAATATGAAACGCCTGACTTTTAAGCCAATTTGATCAATAACCATTTATACAGCACAATTTGAATCACCTAAACGAAAATGTAATTGGAAGTCTTTCAAGTCGACAATCTAAATAATTACTAAAATACATTACAATAACTTATTATATAATAACATAATATTAAACTAACCTGACGTTATCCTTTATTCTTTGGTCTTTGTGTGGGAGATATGTTTCAAATCTTAAAGTGTGGGGTGTTTTGCCACTTCTTATAATAAACGGTCGTCTTCCTCACCACTAAAATTTAACATAATCCTAGACGTTGTCCGGCTAGCCAACGACGTCATATAGCGAAAATAAAAGGTCAAACTTGTCAAAATGTTGTACACTATAAAAACAATCAGTAATATGACTGTCGCTAAGCGACTGTCGCTCCAGACTGGTCTTGGAGCAGTACCCAGCGACTGCAGCTCGCGGCTCTAGCGACAGTAGCTTCAAGCAAAACAGGACTATGTAAAACCACTGAGATCAGTGTTCTGCGACTGTCGCTCCAAGCAAAACGTACCTTTAAATTGCCAATCGGTACAGACATATTGAAACTATGCAGTAAATGGTAACAGAAATATATTTAGCCAAGAGATCATATTGATCATTTGATTCCAGAGTTTTGGAAGGACGCCCTATTTGAAGTCGTACATGGGTGGCCAATTTATTTTCTTAGAGAAATTAATAACAAAAAAAAAATGATAAAACACATTAAAATGCTGGCTGTACTCTAAGAATAAATAATTTTATAGCAGCAGGATGTGATCAGTATAAACAGTTTAAGATAGAAACCCTTAATGATTTCGTTAGTGTCTCAATCACAGCTCGTAATTGTCACAGGAAGTTTGGTGGCTTGAAAGTTATATCAGACGCTGGCAGAACGAGTATGGCTCTTAGACTTGTTACTGACTATTAACTAAAAGCCGTCTTCTTCTTGAAACAAACTGTGATAAATAGATCTGTAAGAGCATAAACAAATTCCACTTATTCCACATAGTTGTTATAAGATTAGGTTTATTGTTGCCTTATTGCAAATAGTTTGACATATCGATAGTATAATGTACACTAACATAATCGCGAAACAATTGAATCGTTTAGGAAATTGTATACAATCTTTTCTCAACACGGCATATTACCAATGCTACTTTATGTACATTGCGACATGCCGATGACTCAGATATATTCGTCAGATCACCGGCTTCCCGCAAAAGTGTTCCACTAGCAAGAAAACGGAAAGAAACTTAACACTTTTTTTCCACACAGGTAACCTTGTCCTCCTTGTGGAAAAGCCTTCCAACCTAGCCCTTAGTAATTCTATCAATTATCTCACATAGTTTTTACTCTGTACAGATCCTTAAATTCAACTTCACTTAGGTTGAAATTGATTATTTCCCCGCTCACTACGAATTTGCGGTCCCTGGAAAGAGTAGAAATAATAATAATTTACGGAATCCAGATCACTTTCAACTTAAAACACACAAAAATGGCTTGGATTAAAAGTGGATGACTAAAATTAATCGTACCCCTATGTATGATTAAAATCTAGCATGTTTTAATCCGTGGACTAATATAAAGCACAATTTCTTTAGTCCAGACTTGAAAATTAGTTGTTGACTAAATTTAGTCGCTATCTTATTAGTACTCGAATCAAAAAGATATTTTTCTTAGTCCAGTACTAAAATGAGCTTTATTCTAAGACGCGTTAGTACTTAAATCAGAAACCCACCCTATGTATTATGTCCAAGAAGAGATAAAGAACTAAAGAATCATGTTTTGAGAAGATTTATTTGACTTGTGAAATACCGTGTAATATTAAACTGTTAATGGTTTTGGATACAGATGATCTTTAAAAAAGTCCATATTTTTTCATATACGGTACATCGTGCGTGCACATATCTTTAATAAACTCTTAAGTTTTTACACTGGCGATAGTTAAAAAGGTGCTGGTCGTCGTCTCCTTGGTGCTGCACTCAAATGAACAACTCAAATCGCTCTATACACTAGATCAGTTCAAAATTCTGATCATATCGGTGGTACTGCCGATTATTCCCGACATTTTGGAGTCTCCTGGCACTTCTTTTCAGTGACAAACACATACTTGTTGAAGTTTCGTTAAATTCTAGTTCTATCCAGTGTTTACGTTCTCACTCTCAGGGTTCTTTACTTTTCAAAGCTTCCAAAGCCTTTTCTTGATTTTTATAAAACTGCAATTCAGAAGTTTGCAACATTTGGTTAACCTGAACAATACCTTCAGTGAAATTGCTGGGAAGTTTGGTCGTGTTGTGAATTCATTCTACGAGAAACTAAAAGTCTCTTCAACAACCTCGTCCAAAGTGACATCGTGTTTAAATATCCCATCCATATGTCGTGCAGTCTTGGTCAGTTCATGTTCAATCTCGGTTTTACGCCCTCACTCTCAATGATCGTCACATTTCAAAGCTTCCCAAGCCTATTTTGATCATTATAAAACTAGACTTTAGAAGAAACTAAAATGTTTGTAACATTCTGTTAAACTGAGAAATACCTTCAGTTCAATCGCTGAGAAGGTTGGTGGTGTTGTGAAGTGGTTCTTCGTGAAACCAAAAGTCTCTTCAAAAACATCGTCCAAAGCGACAACCTGTTTAAATATCCAATCCATATATATTTGGGCTCAACATAAGGTTTGGTGTCGTTCAGCTTAGGTTTGGGAAATTTGCTGTCTTCGTATATTGTCTTTGGTCATGTTTAATGTCGATTTGCAACAGTCACAGCCATCGATGTATATTGCTTAAATAGATCGCGCTAAATGAGCTGGTGGCGCTCAAGATACTTTATTACCACCGGATTTAGAGGCTTATCGGTAAATAACACAATGCTGCTGCTCTTCCAGGCCCCGGCGACTGTCTTGTGAGTTGACTCCCGTCTGTTTGCACTATTTAAATCCCATGTAATGACCATGGTGTTTATTGTGAAAATGATTCGAGTAAAAATTTGACTAAATCCACTTCTTTGATATTACTTAACACAAGTTGTTGGTAGATTCTTTATTTCATTATTTTTACAGTAATTCTAAACATAGACAATCTAACAAGATAAAAAAATTAAAAGATTGTAGTGCAACATTATTTGCCGCTAAAAATTCAGTTTCTGCTAGTATTAAGATCTCTATAATTTTCCATGGTCAACTTCGCACTCGAATAATTTCCGTTAAAACTATTTACTTGTTGTACCTCAATCAGTTCGACACAAATGGTTTAGAATGTAATGAAGTGTAGATTGGAAGCCCAACAACGTTGGTTGACCAAGCAATTCTGGGTAAACCAGATTAACTAATCAGTGATTAACTCTGCACTCACAAAGCCGACATAACTCAATACAAGCCGATTGTTGTAAATTTTACATGTTTGTCATTTACAAATCCCATTGTCGTAACGTTATATAGTTGAATACTAAATAAAGACTGATGTATAGTAGTAAAGTATATTGATAATATTTGGCAAAACAGGAATTTTAAAAATGAGGGTTTTATTCATATTTATTCTACAAATAATTTTATGCTTTCAATATGGAATATATAAGAGAACTTATGTATCATTTAAGCCCAATTTCTACTAGGTGCACAGTATTATATTTTTTTTACCTTGAATATAGTTTGAATTCTACAAAAAGTTAGTATTCCTAAAGAGCAAAGTAATTCGAGCTATAGTTTTTGTAGCTGTATGTTTTTAGTATGTTTTAGTTAGACAGTTGTTAATTTTTTTAGAGAACGGAGCTTTATTTTTATTGTTATTATCTAATAAAAACAATTTATTTATATGGCATCAGCGTAAAAAAAATAATAAAGACGAGCGTGGTTCTCGAGCAAATATTCCTGGATGTATTAACGCCGACCACTAAAGCCTAATTTATTCATCAATCCCAGTATATTGAAACAAGTTTACAAATGAGTTTTACTTTTTGTGGATTTTGCGGATTATAGAAATCCCGCTTAAATAACTCATAAATTTTTTTTTTTTATTAAATGTTGCTTTCCGGACGACTACTGAATTTAAAGTCTTCCTCATCTTCTACGTTGTGTTCATAATTTTGTGAACTTAACATTCATATGTAGTTAACATGTTAAAACTATAAAATTAGTTGTGGTTTTTTTTTACAATCCGAAGATAAATTAAAATTTTGGAATGATCTAAACGAAACAAATTTCTCCCCAAACTCATCTACATCAGTCAAACAGAGCTAAAGGTGATGTAATTTTCAAACTGGAAATATAATTTTAAACTGTTCATTTAAAATAAGTAGATCTGCACCATCTTATTGTAATAATTGCAGTCATAATGTCTAACTCATCAAGGCTCATCAAGGCTCATGTCATGTGGCTTATCAAGGTGCCAGTAATATTATTGAACATATTTTTTCAATATTTTCCAACTAAATCCCACTTCAAATAAAAGCTTTGAGCAGAATCATTTTTTAAATTTAAATTTAATGATTTAATTTTTATTTAAAATTTTCGGGGAGATGAACGTGACTCGCCATAAGGATGTGCTATCCTCCATACAGCCCTCAACAATCTCATCAACAAAAATCTTTTCCTCAGCTATATTCTGTTCTACAGTTCTATCTGAATTTATAGTTGCAGGTGACACTAATACTGCCTCCATGTGAATGCCCTGGTATGGTGTTTAAGCTATACAACTTGGGCTCAATAGCTCCAGGTACCCAAACTATTGAGTTAAACAGAGACTGCAATGGACAAGTTGTGTTTTGCCATTCCTTTATTTTTATAGTGACAGGTATTTTTATTACCTTATATAAGGTAACGCTTATATTTTATAGCTTTATATGTTCTTTATATGTACAACTATTGTGTTTTAAAAAGGCTTACTTTACATAGATAAGAACAAGAATACAACTTTATAGAATTGAATTTTAATATATGTATCTCTTGGGTAGACCCCGTAATGAGATTACTAATAAATGATATATTGTAATTAAAATAAATCATGAGCAATATCATTTTAAATGTATAAATTAATGGTTTTTCAAGACAAAATACAGAGGAAAATACCAACTACTAATCGTCCTAAACAACCTTTTGTTGAAGTATTATCAATATCAATAAAACAAATAAAAGACTATAAAATCTGCGAAAAGGATTGCAAAGACATAAAGCTTTAAACTTTTCGCAATGCAGTGGAAACAATAGTATTACAGTTCGAGTTTTGTTTGAATGACATAAGCCGATTTTACCTAGAGGGTGAACGGCAGACAATGATAGGATTGACCGTACAATAAGAAGCCTAACAGTTCGACCTCCTTGTATTCAGCGATCTGAAAGACTCCGTTCAGTTGAACAAGCTGAGATTTCACTCAGTTCTTTATCTGAAGGTCCAGTCAAGAAAAGGTTTAACCTTAGAAAAAAATCTGAGAGTTTTGAAACTTAACACGCTTATTTCTAGGTATCTAAGAAAATCATACCAAAAGTTCTCATACATATTAGGCGAGCTCTAGCAGCAAATAGCAAAATCAGGGCTTATTCTTTTGGTTTTTGGCTTACGTCTCGGGAACCGGTTGTTGGATTTAAATGTGACTGTATTAATGAGCTGAAGGATAGTTCATGCAAAATAAGTCATTTTTACATCGCAAGTGTTGTTTGTAGTACCCAGGAGCTATTTTTAAGAGCCACGCTAGGAAGGTACGACATGGGATTTCTATTAATATTTGACAAAGGATTTTTGGATACCAAGGATTATTGAGGAGTTAAACTTCACAACTTTGTATAACAATTAATAATAAACACGAATGAAGTACATGAACAAAATACAGAGGATATTTCAATGAAAATTATGTACAGAAAAATCGACCAACTCTTGATCGCTTTTTTGTAACCGGCCTTGCAATCGGAATATCTTGGTAAGTTTCTTACTAAGTTCTTCTTCTTACTAAGTTTCCCCTAATGTCTTTCCTATAGCCACTACAGGTGCATCGATCTTAATCGTGTTTACCTACTTATAGATTAGCTGGAGATCTGAAATTTGGTAGGATTGTTGGTCTTGGACACGACTGCAGGTCTTGTGCCCTTTTTAAAAAGTAATAACGCAATATAGACTGTTTCAATGACTGCTTTGTTACCCGCTTTGTTACAACTGAACTCTATTCTACTAATGACGACTAACAGGTAGCGGAGCCCCCAGCGAGCCAAAGGCGAGTCATTTTATATCATTCAATGGTAGTTGCTGATAGTTAGTATTCTTTTGCTAACAAGTATTATGACACCTATAGAGTTATTGAATTTGTTCATGTTTTTTGTCGGACATATATATATATTTTTTTACAGCCAATTTTGCATTTTAAAGAGGTTTATGGAATTTAAAATATTTCCTTAGTTACAGAGATAAGAAAAAAAGTGTAGCTTAATTGTTTCAACATCACGAAGCTTAGAACTAAAATTATCTTTTCTTCTATTACTAGCTATCGGTAATGTTAGATATAGACGTCCTCTAAATGTATGATGGGCGTACTAAAAGCGGCTTTGTAAATTTTTGAAACAACATCTTGTGACATTACATAACCGGTGCCAGACAAGTAGTTAGGGAAGTAAGGCTCGTTAAAGATGTACTAAGGAGTGTACCATTTATTGGTCTTGAGTCCTTGAGTCCTGAATAGGCTTTACAAATTAAGGAACCGATGAGAATGGTTTTTCTCTTGGCAACTGGTTGTAGGGCCTCCGATAGAGCTGGGAGGTTCAGGTATATGTCATCATCTGACTTCATCAGGAACCGAGCTGATGAGCAATGCTGCTGCACCCACTTCAGCATCATCACTGACTTGATGGTCAAGTTGTACGAATCCACAAACCCTTCTTGGATGATATCATCATAAATCCCACTTTCTTCAACAACCTTAGCCTGCAAGGTGGAGTTATCAGACTCGTCAAGTACATAAGTGGACTGTATTTTAGATGAGAATAAAAGGAATAATAGATTGGAAAAAAGTTTAGCTGTATTTTAAGAAAGAAACATTTTTATCACTGAGATATAAACAGTATCAATCAATAATTAAACATCAGCTGGTGAAATGAATATGAACATATTAAATCATAGAGTTTTAAAATAGATAATGTGGGACTGATTATAAGTATTAATAAGTACTGAACAAAGAGATAGCAAACTCTGACTTATACCAAACTCGACTTATGCTGCCGTTTAAAAATTTCATCTGACTCCTCGTGGGCCGTCCCCCTTATGGGATGAAAAAGTAATAATAGCTTAAAAAGAAGACTTTTATGGCTATAATTGATTGACCAAGTTTCATTCCTTTGTCTATAACAGTATAAAATACATTACACCGTTCCGGGACTTTTCAATCACATTTTATAACCGAAAGATGGATGTCTTATAACTGAGTTTCCAAGTGGTATATCTCTATGAATAGACGAAATGATTGAGGTACATTGAGAACTCTACTTCAAAACTTTTATAAGTTATGGCGAGCAATATTAAATAATTTGGATTAATAAAAGCAGATAAGTATTTACTAATAGATGAAGATTCTCTAAAGCATTAAAAATACTTATTTTTAATGAATGAAAATTGGATTTTCTCTAGTTAACTAATTATAAGCGTATTAATTAATCACGAAAAAACATTTAAACTTGTATTTACTGTTACGCGTCTCACATAAATGTATATTCGTGAATCAAATGGTCTTTTCATTTTCTTAAGTTACAAAATTAATTTGTGCTAAAGAGTGTAAATTTGGTATTTATTTTAAACGTTAAATTTGTTAAAAATAAAACTGTAGAATTTTACACAAAATTCATGATTAATTGTATTCAATATTTAATACCTAATGTATGTAGATTGTGATGTCGTATCCAATGCAACGATACAAATAATAACATTTTAATACTCTTTTTAAAGAATAAACTACATTGATAGATTGATTCCAGTTTAAAATTAAACTCCCAATATCTTTCAAGAGGACCGTGTAACAAATCAGAATTACATTTTGGCGTTCATGATCCTCATTGGAATACCCAAATTAAAAATAGCTGTGCAAATATAGCAGCGTTATATCATTTCAGTATCGCATGGTACTCATTCTATATGATTTATTAGATATTAAGTTTATAATTTAATTTATAAAAAGATAGGTTGTATCCTAACAAGCTCCAAGATCATTCGATCTCTTAAAAATATCGCATTACTGTAAAATAAGGCATTTAGTTTAGCCAGGTCTTAAAAACAGAGAACGTGATTGTCGCCTAGTAAACGTAAAACAGATTGCTTGATTATAATTCAGATTAGCAATTCATTGAAAAAATATACTATAAGGTCATTATTACAAAATAAAGGGTGTCCCAATAAGAACGCCGGAATATCAAATGTTAATGAACCATATATTTTCACGCTAAATTTTTCAATATGAAACATGAATCTTAAAGCATAGTATCTCCGATTAGTAATAGAATATTCTCGTAAGTGTCCACCTGCTGCCTGCTGACAAGCCCGACATCTCTTGACAAAGTTTTCCATCACTTTTTCACACACTACCTGTTGAATGACAAGATCAATTTCCTCCTTCAGGTCTTGGATTGTTTGAGGATTATTGGCGAAAACAAGTGACTTTAAATATCCCCAAAGAAAGTAGTCACACGGTGTTAAATCGCACGATCTTGCTTAGATGGCTATGCAGCGATATGTGCTTCATCGCTGAACAGCAAAGTTTTTGTCATTTTCTTATTGATTCCAAACCACCCAGTTTACAAAATCAAGCCGTTTTACGGGATCTCTTGGCTTGATCTCTTGTGCGAGTTGGATTTTGTAAGGGCACATGTGAAGGTTTTTTACCAAAATTCTTTGTGCTGTGCTCCGAGCTAGGCATAACTGCTGACTACGCCGACGAATCGATGTTCTTGCGTTGTCTTCTACACTATCATGTACAGCCTCAATATTTTTAAGGGAGCGACCTGCCCGACTGCGCAATGGTCTTTTAATGTCCAAAACTGAGCAATTTTTTTCGAACAATTAATCTTCGGACACATGACTCATTTGGTGCATTGTCCCGACCGAAAATAACGCGCATCTTCCGCACCGTTTCAGCGAAACGTTCCCCGTACTTGTAGTGCACTTATATGATCAAGCGTTGATCCGTCGTGGAGCGATTCATGACAAAAAATGGGACCTAATAATGATAACATAGCTGATAATTTGGGAATTCCTATCGAAATACATATAAGGATAAGACGGTCTTGAAATCCGGTGTTCTTACTCGGACACCCTCTAGTATGTTTCATAACAAGATTAGCAAGTTTGGTTGAGAATATGTATAGAAACAACTTTCACTCGTGTTTTTTGAAATTTTTTTCGCTACACTTCAAAGACATATTATTTTCTTGATCACTACAAAACTCATAGCATTATTCAGGTTATAACATCAATATTAAACAAACAGTTAATATTATTTTTGGTTGTACAGTTTTGGTTGTTGGAAATTAATTAACCGTTTGTCAAACAATAACAAATCTTTGTTTACTTCAGAAAAATCCAAAAAGAGATAGTTAACATTAGTATCGCATTGTAAACATTTTTTTTACCGTAGTAAACCATGTAATGATAAATTTTCGGATTTGTTAAACATGTAACGAAAACAGGCCATTTCACAGTAGTGTAGCGAAAAGGTATAATATGATTACCGTCATAATATAATACTTACCGATATAATATAATATGATATAATATGGTTACAGATAATACCTCTACATTGAAAAAAACTGACTCTATAAAAAGACAATACATTTGTAATTGGTAGATTTTCTTAGTTAATTAATTCCATTATCATACAAATTCCTTGTCGAGCCTTCCTGATTTGATTGTCAATTCCAAGTAAATGATTTTATTCATTTTAAAAGTGATTATCGTTGTTTATTATAAATCAATATACAATATTTGTAACATCTTACTTATGAATTTATTTACATAATAAACAAATCAATTACAAAACCAATGTATAAATAGGCAGCCTAAATAAAACTACCATTTACATAAATGGTACATATTAAATGGTACATATACATAAATAGTACATAAATGGCAGTTTTATTTAGGCATCCCACGTTCTATCAAATGTTTTAGCACTTTTATTAGAATCCATCGGCAAACAGGGATAAATGTATCTGTGGAGATTTACTTTTTAATATACTCGATTTAAAAGCTTTCAACAGCATCCGCGGATTTCTCTTTTGGAAAATATTTTTAAAGCAGAGTAATAACTATGTAGATATATGGCAAATGGGTACTTTCCTGTTAAAGGGAACATTCATGATTATCGATGATTTTTTTCTCGATATATCGATTTTAACAAATTGAAACATATCAGCTGACAACTACGATAAATAAATATTGTTCAGAATCGACAATCAAAATTTAAAAAATATATATATATTGAATTAAAACTGTTCTAAACTAACCTAACAAAACTAACCAAACTTGCTGTAACATTTAAAACCTCCATTTAATATTCTCCACTCGCCTTTTCTGGTAGCAAACGGAATTTTTAAATGGTACAGCAGGTTTGGTTGGTTATGTTAGGTTAGCTTAGAACAGATTCATTTCTTCCCATATAATAGACTATATTTTAGCTTAAATATCAGCTGTCAATTTGTAATGTATCGTAAAGGAAAAAATCGTTAAATCGAAAAAAATCATCGATAATAATTAATGTTCCCTTTAACAGGAAAGTATTGGGAAATGTTACGTTCAAAATGTTAGTTGTCTTTTGCTTGAATTTCGGTTACTAACTATTATTTTACAATGAGAGATTTCTCCAAACGTAGAAAACGCTTTTTTCAACTTGACAGCATCGATTGATGAGCACAGATCTCCTACAAAGATGACATAGTCTTTTCGACGGGTACTGTCACTTGCCCACTCAATCTTCAGTTTTCTTCCGTGGAGCATTTTACCGTTCATTGCAGCCAGAGTGGAAGCTGCCCCTTCATGGTCATAATAGTCTATAAAAGCAAAAAAACTAGATCTTTTATAAAAGACAATCGATTTTATAGCACTGCGGAGAGAAAACTAAACATTTAACAATTCCTCCGAAACCGAAGCACTCAGGTTCCCTACATAGAGAGTTGTTTTCAGGCTGTTTTCGCTCATTCTCCTGTAAAAATATTCAGATAAAATAAAACCTTATAGTCCAGTCAAATATATAATTTGTGCGCGAGTGCCATTGCTGCGCTCGAGAAACTTTCTGCTCACCTGTATGGGAAACATTTCTCTCATGTGCAGCAAAGTGCCACTTCACACACTAGTTGCACAAATAGGCCCTAACTATTTAATTACCATAAGCTTTAAAATGACACCTCAATCGTATAAATTGGTTGTAGCACGGCTGGAAAAGTGATGTTGCAGATAAACTCTTTATAGTGTTAAGTATTTCAAGAGATAAATGCTACATTTTCCATAGGTATAAATAAGTTTGTTCACTTTAGCAGAGAGATTGTTCATCAAACATTACTGTGAAATAGTTTAAGTTTTCTCTTTTACTTATTTAATTATGTCCTGGATAGAAAATCTTCCTCACTGTTCTTGCTGCATAAATCCATATCGAGATTCGTATTTTTCAGGGAGTAGTACATTAGGTACCAGTTTTGGGCACAGATCTTAATACTTTCCGAAAATAGTTATTTGGAATGTATAGTATTGTAAATGCATTTTGTATAGGTACATGTATTGGATGCCACTATGGGTTATAACACTTCACTTTACTACATGACTTATGAGTATTTTTGGACCCATAAGGGTGTTTTTAAAAACTTCACAATAACACTCCAGAACGGAAAACATTAAATTATTATTAAATGAGCAATCTTACGCACACCAGGTTTTGAGGAAGTTAAATATTTTAAACAGAAAGATCTATAGGAAATTCTTAAGGAATGAAAAATGTAGTCCCTTCAATATTATGTATTTGAAATAAAGCTCTTATTGAAATTAAAAGTAATACAATGTCGTACAGAATATAATAAATCAGCGCAAAAATAATTAGAACCAATCTATTGTCACCGTTGTTTTAATGTGAAAAATCTGAATTAACATTATTACACTAACGTTAGTTAAAATGAGTATATGTTAATTTTTGCAAGGTAATTGTTGCAATATAAGTATATTTAATAATATTATAATGATTGCTAAATTTGTTGAGCCAAAATATTTTAGTTGGTCATCATGCTTTCAGACCACAACGGTTATAATCTTTATTTTATTTTCAATGCTATCTTAACCCAAATAAAAAGTTTTATAACGTCTCTCTTGGACATGATGCACACCTCTGGTGTCATAATTAAATGGTCTTTTAATACAACAAATTAACTGACAATATTCAAACTTTAGTGTATATTACAATCAATCTTATACTCTTTGTTTTAGAATCACAGACGCTTTAGGCACAAACTATGCACCAATAAGAACGCATATAAGTAATCTCCAACTTTTTTACCACTAGAAATTTGGAGGTTACTTGACGTTTTTGCAAATAACTTTTAAATGGTGAGGAAATCGACCAAAGTGGAAGGTAATATTCCGAAAGAGAATACAATTTCCTACAATCTACTAATACGCATATCTTGAAAATACTCAATAAATGTAGCCTAAATTTGGCTTAAAATAAAAAAAGTGTGAAATTTAATGTTTGCTATGTTTATTGTCTACAATTAAAGACGGGGATTTTCAATTTTTTTTTTCCATTTTGAGGCGATCTTTGGTACCTTTCTTGAGTATTTTCAAAAAATGCATAGTAGTAGATTGTAGGAAATTTTATTCTCTTTCGGAATAATACCTTCCACTTTGGTCGATTTCCTCACCACTTAAAAGTTATTTGCAAAAACGTCAAGCAACCTCCAAATTTCTAGTGGTAAAAAGTTGGAGATTAGGCTACTTTTTAACTTTGTACAATTAAATCTACAGTTCTGTTGGATCGATATTGTTGAATGATGTGTCTTTGGAAGGCATAAACTCTTTGAGTTGCTTTTTCGTTTGATGTGTATTATATAGCGGTAAGTTTAATAGTATAAAAATTATAAAGCAATAAAAATGGGTCCATCATTTAGAATAACCCTGTCTTATGTACGTGCTATCATTAAGATAAAAGAACCTAGTTACTTTACTGGTTATTGATTGGGAAATTGGATTGAACGGGTGATATACCCTAAATGCATAACCCCTGCAGACCCCTCATTTAACATTGAAATGAAGATTCTGTGTGTCTTTGAATAATATTTCTCTGATCTTAATTATCAAATATACATTGTAGCTCTTAATAAACTATCTATAGAAACATTAAGTCATTTTGGGCAATAATTAAGCTATCAGTACCATTTTGAGAAAAAAACCATGTCAGTAGTCAAAATAAAGACATCGTACTTTATAAAATTGATCAAGTAAAATTTTAGTTATGACAAAGGTTTACAAAAACACAAGTTGAAAGGAATAACATATGACAAAGGTCTTTGTTATGAAATGGAATGGATCCCAAACAGAATACAAAATTAACAGCTTTGTTTTGAAGATGAAAGGACCTGGCTTTAACACATACTTCTCGTTTACCTTTGGTAGTTGTAACGAATAGTACAACAGAAATATGCGTGGTTGTAACGGTCGTATCTGCGGTTCTCCTACGATTGTAGAACGCACAAATCATTTGATAAATATTCTGTAATAACTGTAAATAGGCCTACTATTTTATGAATTAATTAATTAAATGAATGTTAAAAGTGCTTTTATTTACACAATAAATGCACAACAATTGATTTCCTTAGCACCACATACAACAGTGATCATGAAGACTGTCTGTTGCGGCTGGCGTACCTGGTTACAATTAACATAACCAAACAACTACTTTTAAAATAAAATAGACTGTAGGCCGACTGGTAAAACAGAATAAGAAAACAAAACAATATTTTTTTTCATACAATAAAGATATTTTATTTTCTTAACAAAAAGAATAAATATTTTTTAAACCTAATAGTTAAAAAAATAATAATATAGATAAATTTCCCTTTATAAAAACAGAATATTTGTCAATACAAACTAAACATATTTTATCAACAAGAATATACATAGGAAGCCTGTTTATGATTGCGCAGTGTTGGCGACATTTGAGTGTCTTGATGTTGAATATAATATTTCACTCTAATTTTAGGCTATACATAATTTAAGATTTATGCTCTAAATTTTAAATACATTTACAAGAAGACATGCGATAGTTGGGCTCATCCATGAGTATTTAGCCATGTTAATTCTGCACCTTGTTCTTTGTTGAAATGGAATAAAGTCACCTCTAATTATATTGCAAAAGTAGTTAACAATTTCAAACCCTTCCCGTGTTGATGCTTACGGCAAGATACCCAACTTTCTAAAGAGCATAAGAAGAATTTATTGACTTATTGACTCATTTATTGATGAATAATTTATTGAATCATTTGAAAAATGTATTCATCATTTATTAAGAGATATCATATCAATTATACTGTTTGGGGCCTGGAATAGCGATTTTCTCAACCCTGTTCACCCTAGTGATGTTAAAATAAGAGATATCTTTTAATCTAATTGAATTATTCATGCCACTAGGATTACTGACACCAGTGAAACACTCCTTGACTTGGATGCCTACAAACCTTTCAACAAGCTGCCAGTCAATGTACGGCTGAAGTTAACAACTTTTAAAAAAGTGATGAAGGACTTGTTACCGAGCAAATGTTTTTACTCCATAGAGAAGTATCTTGAGAACAGCATGGACTTTAGGGTGTGATACTGGCCGCCATCGTAGTTAGTAATATAAATATTCGTTTTTATTATGTTTATTGCATTTTTAATATGACATGATCTGTCCAGATAACTGGTTATGGGTATTGGTATTGGTAATGGTTTATTCCACGGTGTAAGTAAGAAGTATGTGGACATATATTTCACGAATGTTTCATAAATTTCTGCCTCTTGATTTATGAGCCATAATCTTGAAAATAGAAACACATTCGAAAATACTATATTTTTATTACAACAAATGAATCTACTCTATAATGGCAAGAACAAGCTAAGAAGCCCTAATGTACATGTACCGTGAACTAATGCCATATTAACAATAATATGACTGCTACTAAGGCCGCGTTCAAGTTGGAGCTGCGATTAGCGATACTAGCTGCAATCCTAACAATGCGTAGATAATAGCGACGTGCTTTCTCAATGGGCCTGTTTACATCGGACCTGGCCTCTTGGGTCTCGACCATCGATGAGAGCAGCAATAATAACTCAGTCCTTTTTCCAAGCTATTAGCAAGATTCTCAACATGGATGTTAATTTAACATCGTCGTAAGTTTTTATGAGACAAGCATTATACCAAGTGTGATAAAAATCACCACAATAGATTTTTTTAGATAAGTTGTGGAGTGAAATCTCTTAAGAATTGAACAAAAATATTGATAGGATGTGCATAGTTTTCCTTATATTTTACATCCTTATGAATAACCCTTAGTGTGTTTGATGCTCAAATTATTCCTTCTTCTTCAGAATCATTCATAGTCTTGATTAGTGGACGTTTGGATTCCGTTCCACCGCGTTCCCCCACAAATCGAGTACTGCATATAGGTATATAACCTTACTGGTTATACTATCTTACATAATCTTATAATCTTACAAGATTAATTTTCTTGTGACAGATTTAGTTCTTCAAGTTTTCTCTCTATAAGCTGCTGGTCATTTGATGATAGTCTTGATTAGTGGACGTTCGTATTCCGTTCCACCGCGTTCCCTTACAAATCGAGTAACTGGTAAGTTGTACCTTGATAAACAACAATCATACAATCCTTTAATCTTTACAGATCTCCTAAGATTAATTTTCTTGTGACAGATTTAGTTCTTCAAGTTTTCTCTCTATAAGCTGCTGGTCATTTGATGATAGTCTTGATTAGTGGACGTTCGTATTCCGTTCCACCGCGTTCCCTTACAAATCGAGTAACTGGTAAGTTGTACCTTGATAAACAACAATCACACAATCCTTTAATCTTCACAGATCTCCTAAGATTAATTTTATTGTGACAGATTTAGTTCTTCAAGTTTTCTCTCTATAAGCTGCTGGTCATTTGATGATAGTCTTGATAAGGGGACGTTCGGATTCCGTTCCACCGCGTTCCCCCACAAATCGAGTACTGCATCTAGGTATATTACCTTACTGGTAAGTTGTACCTTGATAAACAACAATCACACAATCCTTTAATCTTCACAGATCTCCTAAGATTGATTTTCTTGTGACAGATTTGGTTCTTCAAGTTTTCTGCCTATAAACTGCTGGTCATTTGATGATAGTCCTGATTAGTGGACGTTCTGATTACGGGGGTTCGGGTTAAAGAGATTCCACTGTTTGCTGCTACCAAAATTAACTGTGATAATCTAATTCAAAACGTTTCTGGAAACCAGAAGACAAAGATCTTTTAACCAGACCTGAAAGCAAGCTAAGCAAGCTTTGATTACACTTTAATTAACTGCTAATATTGAAACCTTCCAAACAAATATTTCCTTATATTTTAATTGCAAAATGACTATAACCCAAGTTACAACCCATTAGTCGATTAAGGTAAAAACCTATCACAGTTCAGGGGATAAATAATGGATTTTAATGACATAGCTTAGGTTGATACAGCAACGGTTATAATCTACAAGTATATCTTAGAAATAATCTCCACAATCTTAGAATAAACTAACCTACCACACAGTTGCGCAAAATGCTATAAAGTTGCTATATAGAAATTTTTTGACCTCTGTGTCTAATTGTGAAATAAAATATATTTGACAGTTCTGCTTGTTTCATTGAGATCTAAAAGCAAATGTAAACATTGTGAGATTTCATTGCTGCCATGCCTCACCTCAGAACTTTAAAAGCCAATGGGGCAGAGTCCCTACTCCCTAGTTAACAGGTATAGTCCTAAACTGTAAATCAGTATGGTAGCTATTATTTTGTACAATCTAAGCCCAGTTGGTTCTGCAGTATTTATCGCCACTGCGATGTCCGAAGTTTTTTTTCAACTAAGAGAGTCCTTAAATTAAGTTAAATTGTCTTCCGAGTTCATGATGACCACACTACGTGTTTTCTGTCTCTGGGAAAATGTGAAGGACAGGACATAAATCCTGCCATTAGCTCAAATACTAAGAGAGCTCCGAGAAAGGATTCACGTTACAGTGACAAAAATAAGACAGGATATGCTAAGCAACGTTTGGACAGGGCTGCAACACAGACTGGAAACATATTTCGCCGTAAACTGGCAGCATATTGAGCAATTGAGAGATAACAAACAAAACTGAGAAAGTTTTCTTTAAATCCATGAAATTTTTAGAAGCATTCGTGTATCTGTAAGTTCAATTTCGTTTTTTAAAATGGTGAATATTCTTTGGCCATGTTTCTTTTTATTTTCATTCATTTACCAGTAAATTAACAAGGGTTTTACCCTAATAATGATTGGTAACAATTACTCGTCAAATTGATGTATAATTTTTATTGTTATCGTAAATTTGGGTACATTATGCTACTGTGTTGTATTTATCGAAGGTATTGTTACAAATACAGATATGAAATTCAGATTCATTTCGATCTTGCAAGAGCTTATCTGAGATTTGCAATGCAACAGAATAGAAGTTCTTGATATGACGCTTTGTTATCTGCGTCTGTCAGAGTCTTTGAGTTGCTGCTCATCTCTTGTGCTAAACTTTGAGACAGATATAATTACACAAAAGTATACAGGGTAATTGATATAAGTGTGCCAGCTGTTTTAATCGAAAGTGTCAAGGGATATAAAACATTTTTAATTTTAACTGCTTTGGATTTTTATTTAAAAGATTTTGGTGGAATTGAAAAAATAATTATAATCAGCATTTTTGTTATATGGCCACCTACTTTGACTTTTCTTTTGGAATACCCTATATTTTATGATTGTTTTAGAAAGAAAATCCAATTTAAATACGTTTTTATTCTTGGATTTTTTTCTCTCAGATAACAGTCATTGATAAAAAACATACCATTTAATAGCTTAATTATTAAATACCCTATTTGTTTCATTACATACAAGCCTTCAGTCAGTACGTGTTTTCAGTGGAATAATTTACAGCTAATTTTGGCCGGAAAAGCCAACATGAAACTTCAGATGAGAATTACCAAACACTCGTTTCGTTTGATATTTCATGCGGTGACTAACCACAGTGACACTTCACTAATAATCAATAATACAGTTTTATGTAATCTGTAGTGAACTAGCAGTAACATTCTACAATTTGTTCAAATTGTTTACAATTTTGCTTCAAAAGTTTTTAAATAAAAGAACAAAAGCTATCACACAACTTCATAATTTATATTCATGACAATATATCTCTAAATCCACAATTTCCACAAACATTAAAACTCATTTGTCAGCTTTGTCAAATGGGATTGAATAAATTTAGTAGCTTTATTGGTGGTGTACAGATATGCAGGAGTATTGACACTGCTACCTTCATTTAAACTTGATGTGACCTTTACTGTTTGTTGCTCGATATTAAATGTTGATCCTTGTTTTTATTGGTCGGTTGTACCAGTGTTGTCGCAGTAAATGTTTGAGTCCACAATTACGAAGCGGTCTAAGGTGTTGTATATCCCTGAAGAGGACAGCATTGTTGATCGAGGGTTCGGAAGCCAACTCGTTGAGTTCTTAACAGCTCATCTGTATGTGACATAGCTGAATGGGGGAGGACTCGTTGAGTCCTTTACAGCTCATCTGTATGTGCCAGCTGAATGGTGGAGGACTCGTTGAGTCCTTTACAGCTCATCTGTATGTGACATAGTTGAATGGGGGAGGACTCGTTGAGTCCTTTACAGCTCATCTGTATGTGACATAGCTGAATGGGGGAGGACTCGTTGAGTCCTTTACAGCTCATCTGTATGTGACATAGCTTAATGGGGGAGGACTCGTTGAGTCCTTTACAGCTCATCTGTATGTGACATAGCTGAATGGGGGATGACTCCTTGAGTCCTTTACAGCTCATCTGTATGTGACAGCTGAATGGGGGAGGACTCGCTGAGTCCTTTACAGCTCATTTGTATGTGACATAGTTGAATGGGGGAGGACTCGTTGAGTCCTTTACAGGATATTCGGTCATGTGTATGTGACATAGCTGAATGGGGGAGGCACACCTGAAAATGAACGGTAGACAGCTTAGGATGAGTGGATTGTTTGTGAGTTGTACCTTAAATTGAGCTTAAATAGTCTTCTTTACTTTGTCTTATCTTCACCATGTGATTATGCAGTTAAGTCTGGTTTGAAAATAATATTGCTTCTTGTGTTAATAATTGCGCTTCACCATCAAAATAAATGGCCAATAGTTTCTATAACGGTTTTGAAAACAGATTTTGTAAATAACAAACATGTAAAATTTACAACAATCGGCTTGTATTGAGTTATGTCGGCTTTGTGAGCGCAGAGTTAATCACTGATTAGTTAATCTGGTTTACCCAGAATTGCTTGGTCAACCATCGTTGTTGGGCTTCCAATCTACACTTCATTACATTCTAAACAATTTGTGATGCACTGATTACAGTAAACAATTAAATAGTTAGCACAGGAAATTGTTCGCTTTAAGGTGACCATGGGAACCTATGGTGAAGTAATTTTGATTATATCACAAAAACTTAGATTTTTCCCTATAATTGAACTACTAATATGCCATATGTGGATGTTGGAAGCAAAACACATCGTATAGAACTATATTACTCCGCACTGGCGTAAAGCTAACTGTATTCATTACGACCATTCCTCTAATAAAATTTTCCTCTAATACAATATTTCAGAACCATAATTGGATTTCCACGCAACCATTCTCCCAGCAACGATCCACAAGTGTCTGAGTTAACTCTGAGTTAGTCGAGTGCATATTGTTGGTCAAAATTACCTTTATTAAAGTGGGATTGCAGCCAACAAACATTTGCATATTAATGTAAAAGCTTTTGAGGCCACCGTAGTGTTTTATTCTATTTATTGTAGCCTCAAACGTGTCAACAATTGAGCAAACTCTTTTAACATCTTTTAATGTTAAACAGTCTGTTGAAAAAGAAAAAAAACCCTACTAAAAGTATTCATAATGTGTGAGTAGAGTAGCAACTAATAGAGCTGATTCCCTAAGTCGTGCGATTGTGGAACCGAAAGACTATGAGTCAATCTATCAAATAAAAATATATATCTTCATACACTTTTAATTACATTAAGCTTATTTTATGTCATTTCCGAAAAAAAAGAATAAACTCCAATAAATTTTAGGCTTTAGTGAATTTGGAAATAAATCAATCTAAATACTTCTAAGCCTTTGCTGTATCTTAAATTCTTCACCGAACAAAAAGAAACAGAGAAGAATCGCCTCAGTTGGGAAAGAGAAGTTTCTGACAGCTACAGATAACAGTGTCAGTTAGCAGAATTGTTTCAGCGCTCACCGATAAAGGAGGATAAACCTAAACTCGAGCTTACCTCTTCCAACGTAATAAAGGTTTCTAGGTCCAACAATTGCTGGTTACTGTAAATCTTGGAGCATATAAAATTAATTACTATATAATACATACTAGTTTTCTTTATAACGTCTATTAAAGCATTGACTATACACAGAATATACTTCCCATGTAATGTAAAAATTGAAAAGAAAAAAAAACGTAGTGCGATCTGTTGAGATGGTCTACAAACTAATGACAATATTCTGTGTCAAGTGAAATCAATCAGCTGTTGGTTATGATACTGCATTGGTTTGAATTATTATATATAACCCACTAGCAGTCATACCCGTCCTTCGTACGGGGTTGGCATATAAGTATAAAATGATTATTCCAGTTATACTCAAGCTTTGCGTTTGCAATGGGGGAAGACACAGTTTGATAAAATTTGCTTCTTTAAATTTACAGTATACTATAGTATGACACATCTACAATAGTCATAATGTTCTACCACTTCACCTAAACAATAGAGAAAAACAAATTTAAAAAATTTGCTAAATATCACAAATTATTCATGAAATCAAAAAATAAACATAACTGTAAACAATCCTACTTTGACAGTTCTCATTGCTTACCACAGTTTTTTGCTGCTGCTTAGTTCAAATTAGCTGTTTTCATAAATGATAAAAAAATAATAGTGCTGCACCCTGTTGGTAAATCTTATAACTTTTAATGCTTTTGCAAATCATAGAACCAACTTTTTCTGTTGAAACAGCTGACTAAATTATTTAATTCCCTTTAAATATGAATACTCATAAGGTTAACATGGGGAACTTCAGAGCCACTGGGGCGGAGCCCGAAAGGATTTTTGAGATAAGAATACGTCTATATGTTAATCGGGAATGTGATCTATCATCATGCCAAATTTCAGCCCAATCCATCCAGTAGTTAATGCGTGATTGAACTTCAAACAAACAAACAAACAAATAAACAAACACACAAACTTTCACATTTATAATATTAGTAAGATTAGCTGGCCCGACATACGTCGTCCTGTCCTAATGTGGTTTTATGTCAAATGCTCGTTCATCTTCAAGATGAGCTCGTTTGCATGGCTCAATCACGTCCTGCTTGAAGTTCGTTCGCTACTGTTACACCTTTTGGTTTCAAATTAGCTGTTGTCATAAATTTTAAAAAAATAATAGTGCTGCACCCTGTTGGTAAACATATTAACTTTTTAATGCTATTGAACATTACAGAATCAAATTGTTAAGTTGAACCAGCTGTTAAGATTCTTTAATTCCCTTTAAATATAACTACTCATAAGGTTAACATGGGAAACTCCAGAGCCACTGGGGCGGAGCCCTTTTGACGGATCTGTACCAAACTTCACACAAGCCATCCTTGAATAATTCTTAATAATGCCTGAAAGTTTCATTACAATCTGTCGAGCGGTTTCAGAGTCCATAAAGGACAAACAAACAAACATACTTTGGATTTTATATACAGGGTGTTTTTTTAAAAACTTGCATCTTTATTTATGTAAAAACCGCAATAGATAGAAATATGCAGTTTGCGGGAATCATCTATTGACGTAGGGGGACCAATTGTTTTGAATTCAACGTTACATTCACATTTCCCCCCTTTCCCCCCCTGCCCCCAACTTAATTTTTTTAAATAGCAAGGTACCCCTTGTGACATATCAAATAAAAGAGCATAAAAAAAGAAAATGTTTGATGAAAAAAAATTGAAAATCGGTTCATAAATTTGTGAGATATTCCCCCCCTCACCCCCCCGGAACTTAATTTTTTTTAATAGCAAAGTACCCCTTGTGACATATCATATGAAAGAGCATGAAAAAAGAAAATTTTTGGTGAAAAAAAATTTAAAATTGGCTCATGAATTTGTGAGATAATCACCCCCCTTTTCCCCTACCCATAACTTGTTTTTTAATAGCAAGGTACCCGCCCTTGTGACATATCAAATGAAAAATAAATTTCGCCAAAATTTTTCTTTTTTCATGCTCTTTCATTTGATATGTCACAAGGGGTACTTTGCTATTAAAAAAAATTAAGTTCCGGGGGGTCGAGGGGGGAATATCTCACAAATTTATGAACCGATTTTCAATTTTTTTTCATCAAACATTTTCTTTTTTCATGCTCTTTTATTTGATATGTCACAAGGGGTACCTTGCTATTAAAAAAAATTAAGTTGGGGGCAGGGGGGGAAAGGGGGGGAATGTGAATGTAACGTTGAATTCAAAACAATTGGTCCCCCTACGTCAATAGATGATTCCCGCAAACTGCATATTTCTATCTATTGCGGTTTTTACATAAATAAAGATGCAAGTTTTAAAAAAAACACCCTGTATATATATAGATAGATTACACTAGTAAAATCTGGTAAGATGGTACTGATCTTCAACTATTTTCTTGGCTTCAAATTATTATATCACATGAAAAGTCTATTCTGTGTATAGTCAATGATAAAAGTCAGGCTAAATTTTTTTAGGTTTACCTGTTTGCACTTAATAATATGTTGCTAAAATGTTGATTTGTAAGTGAGGCTATTGACCTAAAAAAACTGTATCAACAAACTGGCACATACTGTTCGCATAGCTTGTAATCTAGTATTCTGTTTGACAGCTGTTTCCATATATTCCATTTCATGGCAAAGGCCTTTGTCATGCCTCACAACATGTATTACTGCATGTCAATACTTTTACTGGTCAAAGTCTGTTACGTGCCCAAAAGTTTTTTTTTTCAATTACACTTATATAACTTATAACTTCTATACCTTGATAGGTAAAATAATTAAAACTGTAATATTTAGGAAAGGTTTTTTAGTTCGAGAAGTTTGGTTGGGTAAGGTTAAGTTACCAATGATACCTAACCTAACCTAACTTCTGGAACAACTGGAAACCTCCATGTAGTTATTCACGAGTAGTGAAAGACTTTTCAAGATTTTCAACGCGTTTTTCGGGATGAAATAGGTGTTTGCCGAAAAAGTGCATGAGGGAAAAGTGTTTTAAATGACCTTAATAATAAGGAAAATGCCAATGAAATTAAAACGTTTTTCAAACGCCGAAAATCGCCGATTTCTAGCGCTTGCCTCGTTTTTTAAACGCAATTTTAAACGAGAAGGGCAAAATGGCGGTTTACCCAAAATTTTCAAAGGAAAAAGTGCTTAAAATAGCCTAA